AACAATAATAAATCAATAATTCTTATTAGTAATAATCTTATTAATGGTTTATCTTTTTTCTTAAATAAAGATTAAAAATATAATCTATATAGAATAAAATTATTTTTATAGGAGAATTTTTTTAATTTAATTAATAAATTAAATAAAAATTAATATTAATAAAAAAAATATTATAATGTTTTCAATCTTTAAATATATTTTAAAACTTTATAAATTAATATATTTTATTTATATTTTCGAGATAATATATTTGCTTGATTAATTTTTTCAAGTTTTTAATTATTAAAGAAATTTCGAGATTCCTTTAATAATATAAAGTTTAAAATCTAATAAAATTATTCTCTTCAAATATTATTTATCTTTGTTTCAATTTTTTTCTTTAAATTATCAAAACAAATTATAAAATGATTAAAATCTTATTAAGATTTTTGTTTAATATAAAAAATTTATTATATAATAAATTATTATTGATTCTCTTTATCAAATTTTTTATATATATATCCCCTAAATTAATTCTGTATATAAATTAATTTATTAATATTTTTACGATATTATTATATTGATAATCATTACTTTTAAAAATATTAAATAATATAGTCAATCTTTTTTTAATTTATAAAGAAATAATATTTATTATCATTCTAAAAAAATTTTATGTAAAAAAAAAGTTTTAGAAATTTCGAGAGTTATTTTTTGAAAATAAAAAACCGATTAAATATTATAAAGAAATTATAGATAATTGATAATAAAATATATAAAGGTTTTCTTTATTTATTAATAATTTATTAATTTGAAGATTTCGAATTCTTTTTAAATATTCTCAAATCTTTAAATCAATTCAAATTCTAATTGAGTATTTGATTATCTATCAAATATAAATATTTCATTAAATAGTTTTTTTGTAATATCAATAAACATTTTTTTTAAGTTTAAGAGTTATTTAAACAAAAAAAAAAATTTGGAGTATTTCTTATAGAAATCATAATAGGAATATAATATTTCGATAATAATTAATTGATAAATTGTTTTTAAAAAAAGAATAAAAAGAATAATAAAAATTATATATAATAGAGAATCAATTAATTTAAAATTAAAATTAAAGTTTTTTATTATTCTTTTTAAATTGAATATAACTTTTTTTATAAGAATATTAATTTGAAGTATTTAGATCGATTATAATTTAAGGATTATATACTAGAAATTGTTTTTATAAAGTTTTTTAGATTAATAATTGAATATTTTATTAGTTATATATCAATATTATAATAATAAATCTATTATTTATAGTTGTAGATATCCTTTCAACCTTTATCTCTAGAGCAATTGTAACAAATATTCGAAAAAAAATTATAATTTATTGTGACGGAAACCCCTGCTCTCCTCCCACCTTGTTACAAGGTTTGCCGTCTAGATCACGTGGAAGTGCTCTAGGCTCTCGAGGTGGTTTATAACTAGGCGTCAAGCAGGGACTTAAAGTAATGACAATAATGCAATTCGTAACTAATAGTAGAGTATACTAAATGATTGATCTTGAGCACGAAGCTCTATACAAAGGAAATCCATCTTGATTATATAGTCCTTCATGCCTATGGCTAGTCAGGACCGCTGCGCGGTCCTGGACAGCCAGCGTTCCTCAGCGGTCCATAACGTGACTTAATCACGTTACCTTGGTTTAGTCATGTGACGCGGCGTAGAAGATAGTCGTCGTAACACTTATATGAATTTCGGTATGATTTCGATGAACGACGAATAGCTGTGCGCAAGTACTGTAATTAATCTATTGAGGATTATCGCAGTCTGCCGTTTGTGAGAGCCGACTATTAACGATGCATATGGATGAATATTCATCCTTCATACACAAGTGCATAGGTACTCACAACTGTTTCTATATCCAATTTCACGAGTCGGCTATTGCTCTCCACTTACAGAACAGATAATCTTCCCCACGTATATAATTCTTTCGCCCTTCTTCTACAGTGGCTTGGTGCGACTCGACCGCATGTCGTGTAACTTATATAATCTACTGTTTCCAAGGCTTTCTAATATATATTATTGTGTCATAATATCTCATGTACGTGAAGGCATTATAGCCACACATTGCATTCTCTAGGGTATCATTCTAGTGTAAAGTAATGAAGACCCCAACAGATTTGGCGCTTCTTGGATGCTGAATAAGTAGGACATATAGAGGTCCTGAGGAGGGAGGTTAAGGAAAGCATGGAAGAAAGACGAGTCTCTATAAAGAACCGTAGGGAATTCCTGAGAGTCAAATGAAAATGTTGTTCTATTATATGTTGCACAAATAAAACTATCCATTTCGTGCTCTTGATGTCTACTTTTTCAAGTTACCACCAACAAAAATCGACATATACTTAGGATACTGCCCATATAAGTGGTAGTGACATGGACAAGTAATATCAACATGTATCTCCCTTCTATCATTTATCTGCTTCTCAACTCCATTATCTTTATCATCTCGGGCGCTCCAATCAGCACCCATAACAGCCTATCACAAGAAGTGTCAACAACAGCATCACCGTCATCTACCTCTACCTCATCCACCAGCGTAATAAAAATCACCAAACTCAACCCCTTCTACTGGATCGCTACCTTCTCCTCCGAAGGCTTCCACTCATCCAACTCATCATCCACTGAGTCCCTTCCAATAAACCTGCAAAACAACGCCTTTTTCACCTCATTCTATGCTCTTTGCGATGAAATTCTCTCGTCTAGCCCTCTAAAAGTGGTAGTTTTCACCTCATCTTCGGAATATTTCTTCTCCACCCACGTCGATCTCGTGAATCCCCTCTCCGGGCATCTATGGCCGGGTTCACCAAAGTACTGGGACTGCATTAGCCGTCTCGCAAACTCCAATGTGCTGACGGTGGCGGCTATCAGGGGAATTGCCTACAATGCGGGCGCGGAGATTGCGGCTGTGATGGATGTAAGGTTTGCAAGTAGGGAGAAAGGTGTGCTTGCACAATTGGAGGTTGGGTTTGGTAGGTATTTTATGAATTATTTGGGTTTGATCACTAGCGAATTATAATGCTGGATCGATGCTCACTGGCTTTTGTAGGAGGTAATCCTGGCGGTGGAGGGATCGAAATGCTCTCTCGTCTAACGGGCCGGAGCCGCGCACTCGAGGTTGTACTAGGTTCTGATCGCATTGATGCCGATACGGCAGCTCTTTATGGATGTAAGATATTCAAACCACAATGATTTTCTGCTCCATGGACCTGGTTGTAGTTGTGAACGGAGGTTATCATGCGTGAATGCCGCTGACAACATCTAAAGGGATAAACCGTGCAATCCCAGACTCAGAATTCGACTTTTTCGTCGACAACTTTGCACGTCGTGTAGCAGGTTGGGATCATTTTGCCATAGCCGCAGCTAAGAAGCTCATAAATGAGCGTACGGGATTTCCCACCGCTGTTCAGCAGCAAGGGAGCTTCAACTCGTTCTTGGCAGATGTGGCTCAAGGCGCGGTGCCTGCAAGATTGAAGGCTATGTCTGATGCAGGGTTGCAGAGAGATTTGGATTTTGAGATCAATTTACATCAGGAGGAATTGAGGTTTGTGGGAGACGGGCCTTGGAACGTTTAGCTGCAATGAGGTGTGATCTAATTGGAGCTCTGGTGGGTATTAGGGCGGTTGTATATGTTTATCCGGATGGAGGGCCGATGGGTATTTTTCATTACATATACGTTCGCATTGTTCGGCCTACCAAGGGCCTCATCCTGCGGGACCTTGAAGGAAGTAATATAGCTTCTTATCTAGAAGATAATAAACTCCACTAAGAGACCGACTATTTGAAGTTTCTTAATAGTTGCTTTTCCTCATTGTGATTTAGAACATCTACAATACAATATGAAAGATGTGATATATCATGATAATAGTCCTTATGTTTAAAAACGGAGTATTTATTAATTGATGATAAATTTAATTAAAATAGATAATATTTGAAAATACAATAAATATAATTTATTTTAATCTTATGTAAAATTTAAAAAAAATCTTAATTAATTCCACATTTTGATTTGAAAATGAATTATATATAAATTTAATTAAAAAAATTAAGAAAAATTCTTTTTTTAAAAATCTTTGTATTATAATATATGTTAAAAGGAATGGCCTCACACAGGGAATAGTGGGAAGCTGATAGGGCAGAACTGAGGTAATATTGGCCTAGTAGGTTAATCTCTCTTCTAAGTTCTACGGAAGTGCGAAGCTCTCTGTAAGAGAGCTTCTCAATCTAGTCCTAATAGGACTAGTGCCCTGTGCACGTGCTACGCAGGAACCATTCACTTTAACAATATATATAATTCACTGAGTTATGTATTGATAATATATAATTAATTCCTTTTATCAACACTGATAGTTTTAAATAAATTTTCAATTGGTTATAAAATACCAATTACAAGTATTAAAATTTTGAAATTAGATCTATCCTAGAAAATGAATCACCTCAAGACAAGACACATTCTTTTGCTCACTTCAAAGAATACTCAATTGATCCATGTACCCACAAAATCACGAAAGATTGAACACAATACAACATCCATAGACACCATAATCTTTCGAAGATACCACAGAGGTTACGGGGAAAATGGACAAAACCCCGCGGAATCAAAATTTGGTGAATCACAACACGCAACGCTACTAATCTTATACAACAAGTCCGATGAAATCAAAGCTAGAGATGGAATACAATCTATCGCTGTGGACAAGACCCATTCACACCACGGTGCCTAAGTCAAATGTGTAAAAGATCTTGACAGAGTCTGGACAGCATAGTCGCGCTGAGAAACCTATGAGATGGAAATCAGATGATGGAGAAGGAGAGGAGAAATGGTTCAAGTGGTATAAAGAGCGTGAGGGTAAAGGTCTTGAGCATTGGCGTTGAAGCAAATCTTAGCAGGGATCGGGAAATGGGCTCAGAATCTGTATCTCTAGCCGTATCCCGTGGATCTGGGAACCAGCCTGGTATGATGTCATTTTGTTTGCTGGTCTAAGGAATCTGTGAATACAAGAGTGATTGCCCATAAGCTCAGACATTGGAGCTTGGGGATAATCAAATTCACAATACTGCGCACCATGAACATTTCGAAAACGTGTGATCGAGGCGGAAACATTGGTAAAAGCTCTTGAATGATGAAGGTGATTTCCTTCTTATTGTTCTAAGGTTCCAAGTCCGCCCTCTTTTCCATTTCCACTCCCCATATACACGACAAAACTATTGGGTCCTCCCAGTACCAATGTGAGCAAGACATAAAATTCAAACATATATCAAATAACGCCCAAAAACACTTGGGTACCAAATACGAATACCTGGACCAATGAACAGCTTAATGGAACTTATCTCCCCAATTTGGAGGAATTGGTCGAGGATGTGGCCAGGGTGTTCGCCAGAGATGAAATTGGAGGTACTTGATGAAAGAAGTAGAGAAGATGTAAGAGAATATGGACTGGAACAGACAGAGTGGCTCGACACTGCCAGTACGGGAGGTTGAGGGGGGAAAAATTGGTGTAAGTGTAATTATGAAGCTTCGCTATTTCAAGCTACCTTGTGTTGCGGTCATGCTCATCAAAAGACCAATGGTGGCAAGGAAAAGAAAGGAAAACGAAAGAGATAATTAGTGATTTGAATCAGGGCAGATAGAAGGCTGAACCAAATGAATTACAACGAAGTACCTATATGGCATCATCTATATAAAGTATGCAATTACCACATCATAATTAAGAATCAAAATAGTGACCACGTGAATGGCCACTAGACCAAGGAACAAAGAAAATGGTAGCAGTCTATTTAATCCAATGTAAAATTTGTAATTGTAATTTGAAGTTTTATGGTTAAGCCCATCTGAATAAAGTGTCGCCAATAATGATACTGTAGAGCAACACGATGCATTTCGCAACCATGCAAGAACAACCCCGGGATTTTTGCATTTCAGCTATGACGATCTCCCGCATCTGTTGGCATGGAAGTTTGATGTAATTATGCATTCTCCAGGGTTCTCTGGTAGTGACACAATCGGGCATTTTGTTACTTGGTTCCGGATGGTTAGATGATGTAGAAGGAAACCTGATTGTGGCCTGCTGCTAATACAGCTCATCGAACATGATGCTGACTTTAGACAAATCCGAATTTAGTAAGGCTAGACAGCTGTGAAGGGTTAGTATCGAGCAGCGAAGTGTAAACAGCTATGGTTTCGAATGGTGTGAAGCAGTTTAGAGTGATGATGGTGCGTACTCATGAACCATGAAGACCTTTTGACTCCGGTGTGGTCTTCTCTCTGCCTAGATTGTGCGGTCCCCTTTTGGACAAGACACCATGGACAGCGAGGACACTTCGAACGATATTTAACGGAGCCATAGAATTTGCAAGGGCTGAAGGACTGAAGGATAGATTATTTCCATCCTTCAAGATCCAAGATGTCACAAGGAATCGTATTCGTAGCGCGCGGGCCATACCGTCACCTTATTATTAAGGAGGAGGGTAAGCGTCATTGTGGTTTTACGTTTTGATGTTTGGGTGAAGATGATGCATTAATCGAGAATTTTGGCTGGCTACTGCCGGTTGGAGTGATTTGATATGTTGTGTTGTGGCTGGTTATTAGGATAGTTTTTGGGGAATCTGTTGTGCCAAGACGAAGAGGCCGGAGATGGCTGTGTGCGCCATGTTCCGCCAGGTGGAAAAGGATACTAATCCTCCCCAGGTTATTTTAAGGAAACAGTAGAAATACGAAAACGATAATCTCCCTTTGTCACAGCCTTGTTAAACTGACCGTGGAATTTAGGTCACATCTCTATGAGTGTATAGGTAAGACTTGCGTGCATGTCGTCGTAATCAACTCACTTGGTTCCCCTCAGTCACGCCACATACCACACTCGAAATCGACTTTCAGATCGATCGTGCACGTGTGGTGGAGGGACCCAAGTTTGAAGTGCTTGGACATTGTGGCTAGCAAAGAGAAGAAGAAGCTTGCTATCATGAAAACAATATCGATAGATCCTTGAATTTAGTATTCGTGTAGATGATCATATATTACATTAGCATACGGAGTAATGGATGGAAGGATTAGAGATCCAGCACTTGAGATGCACAAGAAATCAAGGTCCAGATGGTAAATAAGTCCAGGAATGTCAAAAGGGATGAAATAATGAAAATTAACATTCTTCCTGGTGCAAATCATTGGCTGTGGAAGTTTAACGTTGTATTGTGTATCCCGAAAATGGCACCACACCCGAGAATGAGGATATGAATGAGGATATTTAATTGAGGCCTATAACTCGAAGAGATGTGATATTGATTGAATTCCTTGGTTGTACAGTGATTTCTACCGACTCTCTCGTAGGAGGAAGCAATACTAGCACAATATTGTCTGTGGAGTGATGAGGAATCAATCATTATTGAGCATTTTTGGGAGAATTCGATTTGTGCTTCGTGACTAATAAACATGGCAATTTTCAAAAATAGATACTGTGAGCTTTTTTTATGAGAGCCAGTCGCCAAGTAGGAAGTGTCTCCTGAAAAAGAAAAGGATGAAAAGATTGTTTTCCAGGTTCATACCATGTTTCGGCGCATCCATTATCAAATCGTTCGAGTGGTTGGATGAGATGGCACCCAAGAATTCTTAACTCCAGACTCCCGAGCCCGTCTAACCTCATTTGTGTAGGCAGAGCATCAAATTCGATGTGTACTAGGAGGTCGTATCGTTGTCATTACAGCGCAATTATTCTATTATTTGAGCTTGACGCTGGAGAGTCTCAGATATTTGCGCTTATTGGATTCCTTGGTAAAAATGAGTGAATGAATGAGTAATAAATAAATGAGTAAATACATGAATAATTTTTATCAATGACTAAAAAATGTTGAACAGAAATAACCTACTCCGTGCTCGAGTACGAACTCAGCGTTTTATCTCCTTGTTATGCTTTGCATTTCTTTGGCACCTCAAACAATCCTCAACAACATAGAGCAGCACAGCACACAGCCCCGGAAAATATCCCTTTGTAAATTCTTTCATAATCTTACAACTTTCGACCCAAAAAGAAAAGAGTCCGAAGACTTCAAAACTCAAAACATTTGAGTGCTCTGTTATCAATCAGTCTCATTCTCAATCTCAATCTCAATCACAGTATCTTCATCTCAATCTCAGCCTCTCTACTCCGTACTCCATAGGTAATTGATTGGTAGGAAAGCTAAGAACTACGGAGTACCTATCTATCTGTCTGAGAGAGGTGTTGGATCAAGGAACAAGCAGAGATACCCCGGTCAAACGGCACTAAGAAGTTCTTCCGACCTTCCGATACGAGACTGTCAGAAAAAAGACCTCTACCCAGAACCATCCAAGGATTCTCCATTTTTCAATTGTTATCCACTTTGTTGCACTTTCTGAGGTTGTCTCCACCAAGATTATCTTCCTTTCTCTCACTACTCATCTAATAACCTATACCACCGCCATACCTCTACTTTTCCTCTGGAGATATACAACAAAACCCAACCTGTCTTTCGTTTACATCCACGTATTGAAAGCTGAAGAGATATTCTGCTAAACCTACCACCATCGCTGTTTAATGAGAAAATGACCAATTGATGAATTATCGAACATGATACCCGATTGTCACAGCTACAGTCCTCTGAGTCGTGGTTGATTACAACTTGATATCATTTTGGCAGCGGAGATTGAATCTTCGGACGAATTACCTCTGACCAACAATTCACTACCTTTTCGCAACACCGTCACGATATCCTACAGCACCACAAGCTCGACCATTGATCTACGTCATAAATCCGCAACCGTATCTAGATTGAAGAAAGACACAAGGGCACACTCGGAGACGTTGACTCTTGTGATTCATTGGGTTGGAGCTTAGGAGAACGAAACTACATTGAAGAGTTTCCAGGGACCGCCGATTACAGTACTTTCAATCGCAATAAGGAATAAATATCAGACCTACTCGTTTCAACCTAACATTTTCCAACGCCTCCTTCGCTGCGGGGCTCACATATACCCATTTTTCAAAGATTCCCCATTATAATCATTAATATAACCATTTCGACAATGACGCGAAAGCACCCCGTCATGGCGCTATGGTCCACCGCGTTATGCTCTTCTCTCGCCATCCTTAGTACAATCTCGCCGGCCTCTGCGACTTCAAGTGCTGCATATGTGACAGGGACAAACTCTGCAGGAGACACAGTTCAGCTACTTGACAGCCGAACACCGGCTTTGTTCACAGGGAACTTTGGAGATTGCATGGGTGGACAGAGTTTAATCAATGTTACGACATTCGACGCGGCTTACTATGCCGATAACATGACCGTTTTGTTTCATCTAGCTGGTAACACGAATTTGCAAAATGAGTCGGTAATGAGTAGGTTTTCCTCGAAAGATGATTGGTACTAAGTTGGCTAACCTTGAAATTAGTACATATTGGTGTGCAAGCTTGTAGGTAGAATGATCTTTTATGAAGATGTGATACTAATGCTTGACTCAGATGGAGAGGATAGATTTGATCTGACCTTCAATCCATGTAACGCGAATTTCGCAAGGTGTGTGTAAGATTTCGTTTAATACCATGACTTGACTAACGAGTACAGTCTATGTCCCATGAATAGCAGCAAACCAATCAATGGCGAAGCTATTATTCCAGTATCTGCATCTGATGTATCTGGAATTCCTGCTATTGCTTTGGTGATTCCAGATTTTGAAGGCTCTGCTACTCTACGGGTATTTTCGAACAGTACACAAACGGAGATTGCTTGCTTTCAAGCTGTTATGAGGAATGGCGCATCATTTTCCCACCCAGCCGCTGTCAGCTCAGTCTTGGGAATATTCACAGCCATTGCAGTATTCTCCTCGTTTGCCACGGCCATATACGGAGTTAGCGTACCCCATATTAGAACCCACTACGCCCACTCTTTGTCAGTCTTGGTGGTGTTCGAAGTCTTTCAATCAATTTTCCTCTCTGGTGCTTTATCGGTGGACTGGCCCAGTGTTTTGCCGGCATTCTGGAGTAATTTTGCTTGGTCGGCAGGGCTGATTTATACCCATTCCATGATCAAGTCAGTCAATAGCTTCACTGGAGTATCCGGGAACTCGAGTCAAGTCGGTGGTGCGGGGTCTTCTATCATTAACAATAACGGTGGGCTGCAACAACAAATTTATGGACGTTCCTTGAAAAAGCTGCAAGAGTATAGCCATTGGTCCAAAATGGCAAAAGGAGATGAGATGGTCAAGAGAATAGGGTCGTTGACAAAACGTGCGACCAGCGAAAATTCTACTAAAGGATATGACTGGAATGGAACTCCCGTTGGAGCTGGATTGCCATTGCCTGGGACCTGGTCCAATTTCACAGGAACACTCGCAAATGTTGATATCCCGGCACAGGATGCTTTCTTGGTTGGATTTTTATGGTACCTGATCTTAATTGTTATTCTTGTTGCCTCCGCAATTGCCTTCAAGTTTATCTTGGAAGCACTGAACAAGATGAAATGGATGAAGGAAGATAGGCTCGTGTTGTTCAGGAATAACTGGGTTAGATTCACTGGGCTCATTGTTCTACGATCGATGCTCATTGCATTCTTCATGATAATGACCCTGTCCCTCTACCAATTTTCCTATGGGGGTACAACAGGCATCATCGCCATTGCAGCCATCATCTTCATAATATTCTTCTTCGGAATTCTAGCTCTTGCGTTCTACGCTTGCTATATCAGGCTCAGATTCGGCAATTATGGCTCGTCTCCGGATCGAATACACTTTCAACGAAAGAAAGTGATGAAATTTCTCCCATGGTACGGGGCTATAAGAGAAAGTAGAATGGAAGAAGGCGATAAAGCAAAATCTTCCGCTTCAGTATCTTTCTTCCGCGTGCATTATATTGACCAGGATAAGGAGAGACAGAGTGTACACCAGGATGAGGAATATACTGAACGTTTTGGTTGGCTCTCGGCTCGATATAGAAGAACCCGTTGGTGGTTTTTTGCATTTTGGGTTATTTACCAATTCCTCAGAGCTTGCTTTCTTGGAGGTGCTCGCGCTAATCCGGCTGCACAAGTATTCGGCAACCTTGTCGTTGAGATCATAGCCTTCATTGCTATGATCTGGCTCAATCCCTTCGAGGGCGCCCGTAATACAGCTTTGGCAGTTTACATGCTTGGAATCAGTAAGGTTGCTACTGCAGGTCTATCGGTCGCATTCCTACCACGATACAAGGTTGCACGGATCCCGACCACGGTTATTGGTGTTATCATTATCGTCATCCAAGGGTTCCTAACTATTGGCTTGCTCATACTTATCGTTCTCGGGGCCATTTCAAGCTACATGTCCATCATGCGCAATCGCGAGGAATTCAGACCACGTCACCTACAAAAAATTCGCACGAAATATTTCCACCATCTGGAACTAAAGGCGGTTGATCTTCCGCCACCACCACCACCGGAGCCTGAAGAGCCAAAGGAACCATATTTCAGTGTAACTCAAGTTCGTCGAGCTCCTAAGATCGAAGACGAGGATATCGTGCCGGAGATGCCGGAGATGAGAGGAAATCGAGATCCGAGTACGTCACAGCACTCGTTACCTATGGCTGGTCGAAGCAGAGCCGCTAGTATGCGCAGCCAACATTCAGGTTATGGCAACGTTCCATATGGAGCTCGAGTCCATCGAGCAAGTTGGAGTTCCAAGGACTTCCAAAACTGGCAGCAGGATGAAATCTCTAGAGGCGATTCTCCATTCAATGCACCATCAAGACGAGTGAGTGCGCACCATACTGCTAATAATTCTATTTCTATGGCTCCACTTGTACGTCCGAAGATGTCGCAGACAAGCTTGAGGCCCAATACACCGAAAAAGGAGAAAACTGCTCAATACGCGGATCAGAGGGTGGGTAATGCAAGCTGAGCGGAAGTAACTCTGTTACGAATTTATGAAAGGTGAACATGGGAAAATGAACAACTGCAGGGGGTGTAGTTGAGGCGTCAGGCGTATAGCCTTCATCACAATGTGTGTGGATGAAGGTTTACTGTTGAATTTACTGGATTTTGCATTCTAGCTAGCACCATGGAAGGATTATAGACCTTGCATTTGTTGAAATATAAAGGCATAGGCATTGGTATAGCATGGCATGGATGGAGTTATAGGGACTGCAGCGCTTAAATATCCTTGTGAGTTACGGCTCTGAGCGAGTTAATTCAATTCACGAAAATAGCAACAGATTTTCAATTCAATGACTTTATTACTCTTGGATGCTGGTGCTTTGTACTTCTTTGGTAAAACTTTGTGTTGAAAATATCACCTCTCATTTTCCCCAAATGTTTCATTTTTAACATTTTCACTCTTCACTTGGGCTTTTTTGTATCTTCACCTTTTCAAGCGAAGGGAATGAATGACCGTCAAAAGATAGAGTGCGACTTCCTCTCTTAAAAATTATGTCAATTTTAAAAACAGAGTTTCTCACGAAATTTCCTCTCTACATCTCAGTCCTACAATTCTTACTCTTTATCACTTTTTCTCCTCTATATTTTTCAATCACGCTACATTTGTTCATTTGTACTTTTCCTGTACTTCCCAATACTACTTACTTAAGACGACTTCCTCTTTCGGACGACAATTATCGAAGTATCGAAAACCAGTGGCGTTTTTATGCGCGAGCGCATTCACAACTTGTCGCATTTCACGCTTAGTGAAGTCAATTAGGTTTATTGAATTGAGGAAAATGTTTTACAGCCATGAAAGTACGTCTTCTATATACGCTCAACCCCTCCCTCCATAATTCACCATTTTCAAGCATTGCCTCTCTGTCGTATTATACAGACTTTTCATAGTCCTTTCCTAAAATCATCTCTAGTTCTCACGTCTCGGAAACATGGTGTTGCAACAGTCTGGCTCGTAGCGACCCTAGGCAGCAAATCATCTACTAAGAAAATCACTCGGAAAGCCATTCTCGATGTCGATGTCAAGAAAGCCTGTAACACAATCCTCGAGCCTGAGGCACCTATGGCATTACGTCTGCAGAGCAATTTGTTGTATGGCGTTAGTAGGGTCTACGGTCAGCAAGTGGGATATGTTTTGAGTGATACTATCCATGTTGAGCAGGGTCTGAGGAGTTTGGGAAAGAAGTTGGTGGGAAGTTTGGACTTGAACGGTGTGAAAGTCAAGTGAGTTTTGTGCAGTGTGGAGCAGAGTCACCATGAGCGGAACTGATTTTTGTGAAAACAAGACCAGCTCAATTGATGCTAATGGATGATCCTGCATTTGATCCTGACATGCCACTTCCGGGTCTGTTTCCGGATTACGATTTCAATATCGACGCCGATGATTTGCAAAACCGGGATTCACAACTTTCATTATCGATCAATTCACAACGTGGACGGAGTATCTCCATTTCCTCTTCGCAAGGCGCTTCGATCCTAGGTCTCAATATATCTTCGAGTCTCAGTGCAGGTGGTTACCAGCTCCCTTTCAATGATCCGTTCGTCCAGTCATCTGCACAGAAATCCGGCGCACATGGGAATGAGTTTGAAGGTGAAGCTATCTTGTTTGAAGATAATGATATTTTTGAGTTTGATCAAGATGGAGAAATTAGGGACTTCACCGCTCAAGACATTGCGTCTCGAAGAGCAGCAAGTACAAGTGCGGGGCCAAGATTTGGTAATGATTCAGCTGCCAGTGCAAGAGTTCGCAAGGAGCATGACGATGCTAGAGTTCAAGCTGGAGGTCACGGCCATATATACGATGAAGATGATATGAATATGGTTTTTGGCGATGACGATGAGCACCTGATGTTACCGGATGCAGTACCTTTTGCGGCCTTTATGGGTGGTTCTGTGCCTGTACATGGTCGTGAGCAATCAATTTCACAGCTGGAAGATTCGTCATCTGAAAGTGCAGCTGCACCTTCACGTCCTCGAAAACCGAAAATCAAGAAACAGCTTCCAATTGACCAAACTCAAGAACTGAAGAATTCGGACCTCTCAAACTGGCAAAGAGAGTATGTCAGTACTCAAGATGGTCTCAGTGCAGCAAAGCTGACAGCCAAGGGGCAAACATTAGCCAAGAAAAATGCTCTCATGTTCGTCATTGGAAACGGTCTTAACGGCGTTGGCATTGGTATTGGATCAACGAAGCTTCCAGGCCCTTTAAGTATGTTTTCAGGTGATGTACTTCTTGCGAACATCACAGGACGAGTTTTTGGTCCTAGAAAACGTCAAGCAGACTCTGAAAGAGATGAAAATATCCCTAGCAAACGGCTTCGCCATTCCTCCGAAGAAGTTCCTCGTGGTATCGGCGGTGATAACGATTTCGCTCTTCAAGTTGATGATGGACCAATCGGCACTCCGGTGGAGGTGGAAAGGGGAAGAGATGCAGCAGACACGTTGGCCGACTATCCAAGCAGCGCAATGATGCCTTGGAATTTATCTGCCAGCCAGAGAGCTCGTTCATCAAGTTTACGCCCCTCTGCTTCGCTTAGACCCGGTGGCAGAGGAGTTTCTGCCAGTCCCTTGGTGGGAAGAGGTAGTATTCTACTCGGTGGGGGCGATTTAGAAAAGTTCTCTTCACAGCAGGATATCATTATGTATGGAAGAAGTGATGATATTAGTACTAATTTAGGTGAGGGAAGTGGTGATGGTATGAACGTGGAAGAATGGGCAGGTGACGACCGAGAGAAAAGGGAGTTTGAAATGTTTGGACCAGCCGCAAATGTGGATACCCAGACGGCAGGACAAAGCCAGTGGGTTAGAAGCATCATGGATACCGAGAGTGAGAATTTCCTTGATTTTGTTAGGATGTCGATTGAAGAAAGGATTGGCGAGGATGAAGATGTCTTTGGTGAGCATGGAAAGCTGAAGGATAAGAAAGTGGGATTCGAAGAGCTGTTCGATCCGGAAATAAATAGTGAGGTTGTAGCAGCCCAGGCGTTCTTACACATATTGACTTTGGCCACGAAAGGAAGAATTTGGGTTAATCAAGACGAGGGTGAGAGCCTGGGTGTAGGTGGAAATGGATTGGGCGGGGAAATTTGGTTAGGGTGTCTGTAGTACTGTTGTGAAAGGGCATGGTGTTCACCAATTCGAGCTTTAAACGAACATGACTGGGTGGATAGGAAGCATTGTGCTGGGTATTCGCCTTATGTCAGCGTCTTACGGTAGGGATATGAAATATATCAAATCAGTGGAATGGGGAAAGGGGGTATGGTTTATGGTTGTTACAGTTTGCTATATTGATGGATGTTTTCTGAGGTACTTGTGAGGGATGAGTTACAATTGACTAATCATGTGTAGATGGGAAGAAAGGATATGTAACATTCGCTTAAATTACATTTGCTCGCAGAATCTATCATAAAATAGGTAGAAATACATCGATTAGTAATGATATGTAGATGCATAAAAGTGACCACAGCCTTTTATGATATCGTGAGCTAAAAAGCGTAGATAATACTGATGATACAAGGGTGCTATAGGAATTGTGTGAAATGGTGTTGAACAACAAGGACAGCACTTCAATAACAGCGCGAACACATTGCATACTGCCTTCAGCTTTTCTCCCTAAGGCAAAATCTCCACCCCTCGCCAATCCCAACATCTCCCCCTACTCTCGATTCCTTTGGTCGTTGCAACAGCCCACATCTTCTCCACCGCAAACTCCGGACTAAACAACTTCCCCTCCTTAACACCACCCCAAAAATCCTTGGACAAGCCCGTCTTTACCGTCCCGGGGTGATAGGAAATAGCCAATGCATTATCCCCATGTCTCATTTTGAGGAAATTGTCAAACGTCTTCGTTAGTGAATTAACAGCGGCTTTCGAAGCTCTATAGCTATACCAGCCTCCGAGTGCGTTATCTGATGTGGAGCCGACTCGTGCGGACATGTTGAGCCAGAGGGAGTGGGGAGGAAGGTTTTTGGTGTGAGGGAATGAGGAGAGGTCTAAGCGTTTCGGAGGGAGAAATGGGGAAAGGTGTTTGGTAAGGAGCAGGGGACCAATCGTGTTAACGGCGAATGTGTGTTGGATTTGAGATTGATCTAATTGAGCGGGGGATTTTTCAGGGTAAAGAATACCAGGGATGGAGAACGCAAGACGCAGATGGTGAGTTGAAGGAGGAAAGAGAGATGAGCATTTCTCAGCGGCGCTCGAAATGGTGGATTCGTCTTGGTGGTGTTAGGAATTTGTAATTGAGATTTGTGTTTTTGGAAAAGCGATTGGTCACTTACTTGTGACATCAACCTCCAATACCGTCAACCTCTTAGGATCAACATCTAAATCGGTCAAAATAGACCTTTTAGTTCCCTCGACATCCTTTCTTGAAGTTGCTACGACGGGGAGTTGTGTATTCTGAAGAAGATGTCGAGTTAGATAGAAGCCTATTCCTCGATTTGCAGGACAAACTAATGACCATGCCATTGCTTGTTCCTTCAATTGTTTATGGTATTGTGAAGATGTGGATGGGTGTGGAAGAAATTCATCCGGGGAATGTAGGAAATATGGTGCTTTGTTTAATACAAGACTTTTGACAGCATCATTGATTTATTTGGAAAGAGACATCCTTGCAAGCGCCGGGTGTGGCCTTGACTGGATTTATACTTTCACATCGGAAGGTCGATCCTTCAAAACCATTGGATTGCACTTTGGATCGGGATCGGGGTGTGTGGGGTGGCTCTACATAGATAGACTTGGTGACTGCTAACAGGAAATGATTTTCCAAGTTTGAAGGGACGTGGAAAAAGGGGATGTGAGTGTTCTAGCGAGATCAAATAAAAATTGCGAATCTATAATCACAAGGATGATAAGAGCTCATTATATAGTTATGTCTTCAAGCCATCGTAGAAACCATTTTTTTAAGAAAAACGCTGAAGCAATGTAATAAATGTTTCTTTCCATCCCAACACCATGCCTGCCAACATTGGTCGTTGATAGCCAGCCCAAAATATAGATTATATTATAATAGTAACAAAGATGAGATATCTTTCGATCATCTATCACAAAGCGACATCTTGAAAGCTAGCATTTCCTGGTGTTTGATTGCCAGAAATGTTATCGCTCGATTTGGTCAAGTCATCCGCTGATACCCCAAATGGCGCTGCAGGTCGAAGAGCAAGTTTCTGTTGCTCTACATCTGAGGCGCGGGATTTTTGCTCTTCGGGTACAGCTGTCTTTTCTGTCCCATGCTTTTCTTTTCCTCCTTCCGAGTCGCTCTCGGAATCTTCTTCTTCTTGCTCCTCTCTCTTCCCCTTATCTGGCTTAGGTGTATCTTTTGCGGGTGGAGTAGGAGGAATAGTGTGACCATTCGTACCGTTTGTGTTTGTGGGCGGGGGTGAATTAGGTGGAGTTGCTACTTGCTCCTTCCGTGGTTCAGGCTGTGCTGGTTGAGGCGGAGGTGCGTTCGAAACTACTTGTCTCTGTTTTGGATCTGCATCAAGATAATATTGCCTAACACCTACAATTCTTCCGCCTCTTTCACAACCCTCAACCCATTCCGGTCTTACAACTGGAATATTCATCTCAACAGCTTTCTCCCAAGCTATACCTCTTCCCTCTGTGGTCACAAAGTGTGTGGTGTCGATCCTCACAGTATCTGCTATCTTCGCCCCGATCCTCTCAACTGCCTTGACAAGACTCTCCTTCAATGCAGCAGGTAAAACACCAGGTGTAACCGTGATGCCACTTAAATCCGTCATCTTATGTGTTTTTACAACCACCCTCTCACTACTAAAAGTCCCAGCACTTGTTCTCAGTACCAGATGAAACGAATATTCCGTATCAACCGCCAAACCACTAATCTTCGTGCTCAGCATCTGAGTGGGCCGTGGGATGTTTCCAGCCTTTTGTCCATTGCGGAAAAGGGAGAGGGAGATGACGTCTGCGGTTGCCAACTCAATAGGATCCCATTCCAAGACGACGGAAGTTTGAGTTGCATTACGACAGCGAAGGACTGGTGCAGATGGCTCTGATGCACCAAAGGAATTGAAGATAGAGTCTTGAAGAGCTAGGAATGACTTTTGGGATTTATCCTCCGAGATAAGGTTTCTTGCAACGGTGATATCGACGATGCTGCCAGAGGTAATGTTGGGTGGAAGAAGAATAGATGGAAATTCAATCTGTGAGGGGTATTGTTAGTTATGGAGGTTGAGAGAAATGGCATGTGCAATGACCAAGTTGTGTATGTACGCATGAACAGTCAATTGAATCAGGACCGGTACCGTACTTATTAAATGAATAACTTACAAGTCGTTTATCTTGAGTTAATAAGACAGCCACTCCGGCATCAACTTTACCCACGGTAAGTGAGATCAACATGGCGAAAGGGGTTCAGCTCTTTTAGTTTGTGTGCCAAAGGAAAAGGGAAATCTTTCAAGATACGTTGCGACAGCTTTGCGATTGCGATCTTCCAAAGGTTTAGCCTGGAAGAGCTTCAATGTGAGCTCAGGCGGCGCTAATTGGCTGGATTTTAATACACGACCGCAAGCTGATGAAACATTTCTGGAGTGAAGTAGCAGGTAATACCTACGCATTTCTGAGGAAAACACAAGTAAAATACAGCTAGACATTTTATATTAATATTTTGTGCGTATATCAATATTTATATTTATATTACTCTCTATATATAGTATCCTTGATCTGTTGAAGTAAATTGACAATGTAGCTTTTATATTTTTTGGGTGTAGTCTTCCTAACTACCTACTGTTCAAAGATTACTTCTATTTCTTTTCATTTTTGTGATTGCCCATCCCACCGAATACCTTGTTCTTCTTTAAGGGTTTCTTCTGTGGCGACTTCACTGGTATGCCATTCTCTCCTCCCCTCATCCTACATCCCATCTGGGCTCTTTTCATGTCATTGATTCCGTTGCCTTGTTGCTTGGAATTCTGATATGGATTTGTTTGGCGACTTCCGAGCTCCTGCCCCGACTTTCGTATCATTGTGGCCACGGCCATCTCAGCTTGTTCTCGCAAAACATCCATCTCAGCAGTCAAAGACCCTTCTTTGGTAGATATTATCATCGTACCAACTAAATCATCGTTCTTCTTGTTCCTTCCTATATCATTAGATACCTTTCTCCCTGACAAGTCGTAACCATGCTTTTTCAAGGCCTCTGTGATTGCAGTTCTGACCCTTCGTACCATATGGGTTCGTATAACTTTCTTGTTTCCTCCATTAAGTTTCGCACAAAAAACAGAGATCCATAAGGGAGAGGTTTTATTGGCGAGAAGGTGCTTAATGCGATAGTGGTCCGAATTGTAAGTTTTTAACACTGCTGGAGCTTGATGAGAGGAATAGGCGTGGCGAGAAGATAGCCTATAAGAGAAACACTGATCATTCCCACTTACACCTTTGAAGGATCCATAAGCTAGAGCATCTGCTGATATGAGTTCGCCAGAGCGCATCATTTGCGAGAACTTGGCTTCCACAGCAACCGCAGCTCTTGAAGCCATATGTGGAACGGATGTCTGAATTTGAGGCGATATTCTTCGTAAATATTATCAACTACCAACTCATATTGTGTCTCTGTTTTATAGGTGGTAAGAGAGATCTTGGAAGATTGGGCAGGCTCGAATGAGAGGACTGTCGTATTCGTGATAATAGTCTGCACTTAATTCATATTGTGCTGTGCTGTGCTGTCTGTATTTTCGCCATTATTGTTCTGGATTCAATGAATAGCGATGGAGCCGTAACAAAGCGAAGCCCATTTGATCAGTTCGGACCGGAACTCTGGATTAGCGTGCCTACCTAGGTGCTGATTAGGCTTATACCCCACTACTAGTGAATGGTGGACCACAGTTATGACACTACCTACCTTTAGTCTATCTCCAGTCCAAAAAGAAATAATTAATTGCTAACTACCTACTTAAACCGCCTCTTCTTCCTTTCCTTCATCCACCTCCACAATCCACAATCCACAACCAAAAATAATTATCGCAAACCACAAAACTTTCCAAAGCAAGATCCAAACGAAATTCAACAGTAAAGTAAAACACCAGTCAATATGCCTAAGAATAAGGGAAAGGTAAGACACCGTCGCATTTTCTTTTTGTGTATTAAAAATATTCCACCCCACAATCTTAGTTCAGGCTGACACGATTGCGAAAAATAGGGAGGAAAGAACAGGCGTCGTGGAAAGAACGAGAACGACAACGAGAAGCGTGAATTAACATTCAAGGAGGAAGGTCAAGGTAATATACCTTCAATCTTTTACTCCCTACAGCTGCTCTGCTGTCTATCTCTCCTTGTCGCCTCAACTCCAAAGCCTTTGCATCGCGCACACAACTAACCAGCTATCCTTACACAGAATATGCCCAAGTCATCAAGATGCTCGGAAACGGTCGTCTAGAAGCTCTCTGCTTCGACGGTACCAGACGTCTTGCACATATTCGAGGAAAGCTCAGAAAGAAGGTCTGGATCAACCAAGGAGACATCATCCTTCTCTCCCTCCGTGACTACCAAGACGAGAAAGGAGACGTCATTCTCAAGTACAGCGCCGACGAAGCCAGAAGTCTGAAAGCCTACGGAGAATTACCTGAGAGCGCAAAGATCAACGAGACCGACACTTACGGACAAGGCGAGGATGGAGATTGCAACTTCGAGTTCGATGACGATAGGGATAGTGGTAGTGACTCGGACGACGCTGCTGATGGAGGAAAGGGCAAGGAAATTGATATCGATGATATCTAAATCTTTGGGGGATTGATGTGGTCCCCTCCACGAAGGTCGACTATGGTGGTTAGGGGGATGGAAAGAAAGACTGTCTTCTCTCTCAATCTCGTTGGATTTGGTCATTGTTTCACTCGCTGGATCCCGAGAACCTCGACAGGCATTTTTCCTTCTAGTGCTTCATCTTGACTGGCGATATGTATATAGTGGGAGAGACGTTATACACATATTGACCAGCGTTTTTCTTTCCATTTCTACGTAGCGTAGACTGAAGACTATCTGAATATCAATAAAAAGGTATCTCAATTTGAACATTTTATCTGTGATCCATGGCTCGAATTATGACTTCATCAAACTGTCTAACTCCTTGAATGCACAATCTCAATATCCGATGCATAACATTTCAGGTTTTAATGTTCTTGATCGATTTGACTAAAACTCTTCACACTTGAGCTGCCATATCCTCTACGCCATCCACGTTGCCCTGCAGCGGCCAATTTTGACTCGTAAGGATTTGACCAAATGCCCACCCTTAACTTTGCCATGGCACAATATACACCAAACTTCATTCCATTTTTGTTTCATTTCTCCCCTAGATTAAACAACCAATCGCACCACTGACCATCTACCAATCATCATCTTCCGCTTCGTCATCTGATCAAAAATTAGCAAAGGACATAGAATCAAGATTATATAGAGAAACTCACCACTAGCACTAACTTTCTGTTTTCTCTTGTTTAAAGCAGCTGCCAATGCATCTGCCAACCCCCCTCCGCCTCCAGAAGATGCACCAGCTGGAGGAAGTCCGCTGCCTGCAGGTCCCGTATCTGCTCCCGGGACCGCAGCTGCACTTCTGTCTCTAATTTGTGATCGGTCAACTTTTTTGAGAGCTCCGATACCACCAGCTTTTTGAATATTTGCCATCAAGTCAGCGCGGTCACCAGTAGGTTTGGGTGGCGCTGGAACACTTGAAGCATAGCCAGAATCGCGATTTGGAGGAGGCGGTGGAGGAGGAGCTGGCGGCCCATTTCCTGGCGGTGGTGGAGGTGGAGGAGGCCCGCCAAACGATGGCATAGGTGGTGGGGGTGGGGCAGGTGGAGGTGGCCCTCCAAATGAAGGGGGTGGCCCCAGAGGTGGAGGTGGGGCAGCAGAAGATGGTACAGGAGGAGCCGCTGATTGAGGTAGAGGCGGTGGTGGTGGAGCGCTCATCTGAGGCAAAGGGGGTGGAGGAGGTGCGATGTCTCTCGGAGGTAAAGGTACAGGACGAGTAGAAGCAGGGGGCAGTGGCGGTGCGCTCGGAGATGCTGGAGTTTTTGGTGGTAAAGGAGGAGGAGGAATGTGTGCAGGCGGGATAGCATGGGCACTATTCGATTGATGGATATCTCTAGGAGGTGGGGGCGGAACGGGGCCTCTTTGTGGAGTAGGGGGTGGTGCTGTTGTTCTTGTCCCAGTGAAAGGGGGAGGGACTCCATATCTCGAACCTGATTCACCTGGCTCGTAATCTTCAATAGGCGTTTTCGCAGGCCTCGGCGGTGGAGGTGGCCCGGGATTAGAAGAAGCATGTGCTCGAGAAGGCGCCCTATCGTTGGTATGCGCAAACTTGCCAGCATCAGCGATTGGTGGTGGAGCTGCAAATCTAGGGGGTGGTGGTCCTCTGGGAGGTGAAGGCTCTCTTGGAGGTGTTGGTTCTCGAGGGATATCTGCTTTAGATCGCCGTGGTGCAGGAGGTGGAGGTGGAGCCCCTCGTCCTTGACCGGCCGTGGAACTTTGAGGACTATCGGAACGTGTTCGAGGGGCCGCGGGAGGTGGCGGTGGAGGAGGGGCTTTATTTCTTTGATTTTCAATGCCACTCGGCGCAGGTGTTATGCCTTGTTGAGATTGTTGGTCTAGAATATATTCGGCAATAAAATCTTGGTTATCTCTAATCATATCGTCTGTAATACCCATCTGCCTCAAGTCCTCGCCCCATGTTTCTCGCCAATGAGGATCGATCGCTTCCAAAGCTGCGTACTCAGGCTGCCCTGACTTGAAGCTCCCACCCGAATGCCCGTGGTTTTGTGGTGGATGCGCTGGTTGTGAGGGCGGAAGAACATAGCTTGGGGAATCGGGAGGAGTAGGTTGTATCGATGGAGCGGAAGAATGTCGGTGTCCACTAAAGATTCCTCCAAGGAGACTATGTTTATGAACTGGAGCTGCATCACCAAAAGGATTGGCTTTCGTAGCTTTACTAGCATTCTTCTCCCGATCATTCATTTTCTTCATGAACGTTTTAGCTTCCTTCTCGTCCACGAAGGACAATCCAGCCAGACATTCTTCAGTTTCGAAGGTGTGAAAGAATGTTCTATCCTGATTATATGACCATGTATCATATATCTCCTGATCCCATATAACACCTCTATTCGCAGACTATAGTATAGGAAGTTAGCTTTCTTAATCGATAAGATATCGCGACAAAGGTGGAGGGGAACAACTAACTGAAACATCGACGAGTTTTATCCAGTAGGTATTTCCAACAAGATCGTTCGCAAGCACTGCTGCTCCCTGTAAACCAGTGTAGGTCCATTTATGACGATCAGGGTAAGCAACGTATAGACGGGCCACCGCTACAGCCTGTATTTTGTTCGAGGCCTTTGGCACCATGCGTTTGACCGTCTCTTTATCATCATCCGACAGTATCGAAGGCATTTTTCAGGCTTATGAGGTATCTTCCGGTCCCGATAGACTCTTCCACTCTATGTAGTATCTGTCTTGCTCCTACGATTTGCACTGTGGTAAAGGGTTTGAAAAAAGCGTTCAATCGTGTGGGAGATTGCTCTCGTGTTGGCCGCACTTCTCACACTTCTCACAAGCATTGGAAAGTAGGGATGATTGCGAAATGATTCGTTTCCTATCGCAACGACTTGACTCGAGGTAGGGGCCTGGACCCAAAAGTAAAACGAATGATACTGGTCCCTTAGGTCGTCAATTTCTGCAGCGATTATTATTATGTGCTTATATTCACAATGATTTGAACGGTCAACGTCAAGTCAAGTTGGGCACAGATCATTGAGGGTAATTGCTGCTGCTTCATTTAATAAAAGCCAAGATATTCAGCCACCGGTCGGGGCAAAGCCACGAAATGATCCGAATGTCAAAGAAACGGGTTTGGGGGGCATCGCATCTCACAATTCCACCCCAGTCTGATTAAACCTTAGTAGCTGCCTAGTAGGAGGTACCGTACCTTTATGAAAGTACGAATGCGAACTCCTTTCGTATTGCTTCATATTACATACATACTTCTGTAACGCGCGTACTTGGTCAAAGCTAGCCTAACCTAGTATGTCCTTTCAAATCACCTAATACGATATCATAACTTCATATTATGAGTAGGTAGATACTTGAATATGCAGATGTAGAGGTTGATAATGCTCAATCGATGCCAGTGACTCGTGACCGGTGACAAGATCTTACGTTAATCGTTGCCATGGAGTAACCGACTTGCAATGGAAAAGGGATGCGAAGGGATATGATTACTCTTGCTCATGGGGATATCTACATGCACAGCAGACAGTGCACATTGGTATAGTCGATAAGGACAGAAGTTTCATTTCCTTGCTAATCATATATATACCAGAATGTATTCATCACCATCCGTTTCCTTGACCATTCCACCTGCGAACGCCAGCCATCCATGAGTCCTCGCTTCATTACCTTTCGTTTGAAACGATCGTATAGTTCGTGTAAAGTTATTAAAGTCTATTGAATCAGTTTAGTCTATCAGACAAAGTAGAGCAGGCATACCAAAGAGCTTTACTTATTCAAAGCAGCAGTCCTTGCTTGACGATCCGCCTTGGATCCTTCTTGCTCCGGCATACTTTCAGGAACAACCGGCCCTGGGTTTGCCTCGTGGTGACGGAATTGAACTTTATCTCCTCTCACTTCACCTTGATCATGAATAGGATGGTCGCTAGCATGGCTATCGGTTTTCGAGGATGAGTTCTTCATAACGTGCTCAGTTGCGGCACCTGCACTTGATTCGTGCTGGTGAGTTTCGTCTGGACCAGTTGGCATGATGTCGGGAATATTGTTTAATGATTTACTTGGCTTTTGAGAGATGAATGGATTTGCAAAATGTAGATTGTAAGCTTAGATTGGCACTTTGTAGAATTAGATTAGATTATTGTTTTAAAGACCGAGTCAATATTAACAGGATTCTTTCACTCTATATAAGTCATATTGCCCCTCATGACGTAGGCGCCGTTCGAAGACCACGGGATGGTCTCTGGCTTTCTAGTTGTAGCTTCAACTACCAATAACTTGGTAATATTTTCAAGATTTCAACTTAGGTAGTGTATTGAATTAACCATTAAAACACGTTATTTCTCCAGACCTTACCTAAAGCAAAGCTAATCCGAAAATACTTGAAAATAGGTACATGCGGAGAGTTATCGTACGTGCTAATGGAAATCTAGCTTAACCTACCTCTGACATCGTGTGTGGTTCGCGTCAACCTTCAAAATGATCAGCGCGCCATGATCTCTCCAAAATGTCTTCATTAATCGGTGAACAGCAACCCGTGAAGCTGTCGCTACCATTGGTAAATTATTCGATGCAGCTCCTCGTGGGCGGGATGCTAATGGACTGCAGAAATATCAACAAGAGATATTTCAAGAGCTTCGACAAAAGGATGAACTTGTCGTCCTTGCTCGCGGTCTCGGCCTTTTAAGACTTGTTACGAACCTCCTCCACTCATATGACGCGGCAGGAAATAATCTCATACTATTGATTGGTGCAGATGATAGAGAGAATGGATGGATCGGAGAGGCATTGGCTGAGCATGCTGCCATTAGCATGGCTCCCAAAGCGCGCGGTCTTTCGGTAGTCAATACGGATCTCATGAGCGTCGGCACAAGAGAAAAGATGTATGCACAAGGGGGGATATTTAGTATCACATCTAGGATTCTTGTTGTTGACCTTTTGACCAATCTATTGGACCCAGAAACTATCACAGGCGTGGTAGTCCTACATGCAGATAAGGTTGTAGCTACATCACTGGAGGCGTTCATACTTCGCATCTACAGACAGAAAAATAAGGCTGGATTCCTCAAAGCCTTTTCGGACAACCCGGAACCATTTGCTACAGGATTCGCGCCACTATCGACTATGATGCGAAACCTATTCCTCCGCAATGTCTCGATATGGCCAAGATTCCATATAAATGTTGCGCAAGCTTTGGAAGGCAAGAAGAAGGCCGAGGTCATTGAACTCGAAGTCTCAATGTCTGATTCCATGCGAGATATTCAAAATGCCATAATGGAATGCGTAGAGGTTAGTATCGGAGAATTGAAGAAATCGAACTCCGGATTAGATATGGATGACTGGAACGTCGACAGTGCTCTGCATAAACAATTCGATATGGTCATTCGCAGGCAGCTTGACCCAGTATGGCATCGAGTCAGTTGGAAGACGAAGCAGATTGTAAATGACTTGACCGTGCTGAGAGGGATGCTACATTCTTTACTAACATACGATGCGGTTTCATTCAATCGTCATTTAGATATGATCCTTGCTGCACACCAACCTCCCGCAGGATCTACGAGGCAAAACCAATCCCCTTGGCTATTTCTTGATGCGGCACATACCGTGTTCGATACCGCAAAGAGACGGGTTTATACCGGCAAGGCTGCACGAACGGAGGATGTTGATTCTTTAAAGCCAGTGCTAGAAGAGCAGCCAAAGTGGGCAGTACTTGCTGAAGTGCTAGATGAAATTGATCGAGACCTCTATTTCAACCCCGTCCCAGTGGATGATTCGAATGGCACGATCTTGATCATGTGTACGGATTCTGCTCAATGCTGGCAGCTGCGGGAGTATCTTCAAAGTATGCACGCTCGTCCAGATACGGACGAGGATAATTTGGATAGAGAACAGGAGCCATCGGCGGAAATTATGATGAGGCGGAAACTGCGCAGCTACTTGGAGTGGAAGAAGAAGTTCGCTAAGATCAGCGCGGCTCTTTTCAACGAAAATCAAAATGCACTAAGCGGTGCTAGCAACACAAACAGTATCACGAACAACTCCCGAGGTAGGGCTCCGGCGAATAAAAGGAGGAGAGTTAGAGGTGGTGCTTCGAGCTCAGGATCCACACGTGCTACAAATGGCAGCTTACAAGCTGCAGAAGATAAGCCTCTCGAGGTTGCCGAACTGATGTCAGAGATAAAACCCACGGAAGTGGAGGCATTACAGAAAGAAGAAGTCATTGCAGATCCTCTTGACGATATGGAAGATTACTATCAGCTTTATGAAATGAAGGACCTCGTAGTTGCTCACGCCTATGACGGGGATATGGATGAGCATATTCTCGAAGAGGTAAAACCGCGGTACATTATCATGTACGAACCCGAAACATCTTTTGTTCGTCGGGTTGAAGTTTATCGATCTTCACACAACGATCGAAACGTCCGAGTATACTTTCTTTACTACGGTGGATCGGTAGAGGAACAACGTTACCTGTCATCTACTCGCCGGGAAAAAGATGCCTTTACCAAGCTTATCAAGGAGAAGGCCAATATGTCTGTCGTACTGACTCTCGATGCGCATGGTATCGAAGATCCACAAGAAGCCTTTCTCCGTACAATAAATACTCGTATTGCTGGCGGAGGACGTTTGGCCGCTACTGCTCAGCCACCACGGGTCGTAGTTGATGTCCGAGAATTTCGGTCCTCACTCCCATCTCTGCTTCACGGTCGTAGCATAGTAGTAGTGCCATGCATGCTTACTGTCGGAGATTATGTTCTTTCTCCCAACATTTGTGTAGAGCGCAAATCAATCAAAGACTTAATCTCGTCATTTAAAGACGGTCGTTTGTACACTCAAGCTGAGTCTATGCTCGAACATTACAAGTCACCAATGCTACTCATTGAATTCGATCAAGGCAAATCTTTTACCCTTGAACCATTTGCTGATCTCTCGGGATCATTATCCTCCGTATCGGCTGCAAATGTATCATCGGATCTTCAATCCAAACTCGTACTCCTCACTCTCGCCTTTCCTAAGCTTCGCATAATATGGAGCTCTAGTCCGTACCAGACTGCCGAGATATTCGAAAGTCTCAAAAGCCAAGAACCCGAACCAGATCCCATACAAGCCGTAAAAATCGGGCTGGAAGGTGGTGCAAGTGCCGAGGATCAAGCTTTCAACCGGGAGCCTCAGGACATGCTAAGAGTTGTACCAGGGGTTACAGGGAAGAATTTGGGTAATTTGGTGGTGGAATTGGGGAACATTAAGGAGGTAGCTAATGCAAGTTTGGAGGAATTGGAGCCGGCTGTTGGGAAAGAGGCTGGAAGGCAGATTCACCGGTTCTTTAATAAAAGTGTGCTTGAATGATGAGGCACGCGATGCACGAAATGATCCGCAGAATGTATCAAATCCAAATACGGCTACTAAATGGATATCTAGTAGGCCTCGACCTTTCTCAATTTAATCCATGTTTGACGGTCCAATTTCCTTTAGGCTTAACCTGCAGCTCAGGAAAGAATATGTTTCGGTGTGCAACATGTTTCGTCTATCGCTTATGTGGCCGAATTTTGAAGTAACACGAACGACTAGCTAATCTAATAAATGCTATGTATGATAAGCTACCAAACTCAGTGTAGATGACTGTGTGAACGAAGTGAATGACTTCAATTTAAATTACTACTGTAATAAAGAACTAAGCGAACGCGAAAGAGACTAGCTCTTTTAGTAAGTCTATATAAGACTTACTACTTTCAATATGTAGCTAGCTCTTTAGACAGAATACAATTAGACATACAGGACCTACGTAATCTGTGGGTGCTACGTCTTCCGTATCCTTCTCGTACCAACAATGACCAAACCACCACGCTTCGAAATCAACCATTCTAGGTTTCGAACACTGATACCACACTAACTATATTTCGTTTTGAAGCACAAGTACAACTCGGTGTTATGTTTGCCAGCACCCACGTTCGGTTTTTCGCTCTCCTATCGTTTTTCCCATTAAATATGTCTAGAATAAGGGCGGAGCAATGGTCATTGTCACATACATGTAGTGTCACTTTTATATTCCGAAGTGTGGTTTGCTTATGAAATGGATGAAGTGGATGAAAGTGGATGAAATTACGTGTATGCACTCACGACTCAAGGAATGTTGGGACACCGCGATGTAACCGCATGTAGTGGTGTGCGTATGTACCTAGTTTCGCATAGAAAAGTATTGATTCGATGAAGGGATTAAAACATTATGAAAGCTGAGGAAGAAAGCTTGTACTGTAACTTCCATCTATCATATGTATCAAGGTCAAACACTCTGGTCAACTTGTCTTGTGAGATAGTACTGTTGTACGAGAAATCTAGACCCCAAGAAGATTAGATTGCCCTGAAGGGAGAATGTGAAGGTATGGATGGATAGACACGAGTAGATGACCTTCTCTTCCATGTTGTGAGATCTTACATTGTACTCAAGATATCGGAGAAATGATTCCATTTCCTATGCCATGGAAATTAAGATCGATCTCCCCTCATCAATTCACGATAAGTAAAACATGTCGATCAATGAAATTCTCAATGTCCATTTTCTTAGATCTTTTTTCTGATTTTTTTTTTCCCTGGATGTTTCCACCTTTGGGATGGGGAGAAGAGCAATATCGACAGGGAACCTTACGACCTTGGCTTATCTTACTGCACTGATTAAGGAATCAAAGCATGGACTTGTTGTCATTGATGAGGTTCATCTAGACAATTTTGTAATTCTTTCCAGGTAGTGGTACATAGTGATACAAATGACAGGCAGGTCTGGGGATCTACGTCATAATATGTCAAAACATGGAGACCAATCTCGATCCTTCCATTCATCCTTCTATCCATTCACCCCACCCCATCCTTTCCCTATTCAAAAAAATCCAAATGCATCATCTCATAAATCAGAATCAGAGATAAAGGGAAAAATGGTGAAAAATCTCCATCAGATCTACAAAGCCGATTTATTTCCCATCCAGTAACATCAAAATAAACATTAACCAGGGGTTCTTGTTCATGTGGCTGGTGACATCAAAATGATGATGCCACTGTGGCTTGACGTCAACTTAATTTCCTGTCTTTCCCATCACAGGCGCCACAATTAGCAGTCTAAACCCTACAACGGGAACTAATCCCCGTAATCAGCGGCATTGCCTTCCCAAAACGGCACTCCTTCATTTCGACGCCATGCCTTGTTTTTCTTTTTATTTCACGTTTGGTATGTGAGATGATATGTGAAGATGAGAATATGATAGATGATATAATACAACCAATCAAATCAAGAAGTGCAGATGAGGTATCATCTACATTGGGCAGGGAGAGAGAAGCAAGGGAGAGGAGAAAATAACAAGGTTGGTCTTGGTATCGGCGAGCGAAAAGTGAATAAAGAAAAAATCATAGTGACGTCACGCAGAGATCATTTTCAAAAAATTAAATTCCCGAACATGGCACAGAGCAGGAGGGCCAGGGCACTTGTGTGTTTGATTGAATACCTAGGTACCGCCGTATAGTTATGGTATGACGCGATAAGGTGAGGATGGGATGTCAGGTTTTTGCTTTGAATGAGGTCGGAGGGAGGAAATATATAGGGCTGTGTGTTTCTCGTTGATTTCGTTTTCTTTTCTTCTCTCCATATCAAATACACAAACATACAATACCATACAATCAATCGATTCTACCACCAAACTCAAACACCAATACATTAATCTCGACTTTTGCTTGAGATTTTAGTCAACAATCTACACATATCCACTCAAAAGTTACTACTCAGTACAAATCATTCAAAATGGGAGCCGTCGTCTCTTGTGTATGTCTACCTTTTCCCTCTAGCTCTATTCGCCTTTCCATCGTGTCGATTTAACCACATCATATCACATTCCTAATAACACAAGCTAACATCCTCAATAGATTACAGGCATGTTCCGCGCCATCGGTGCTGGTCTCATGTAAGTTCACTCCACAGATCTCACCTCCAAACCAACAATTCAACATCTTCCCATTACTTCACCATACCACAATACCTCCCACAAAAATCAACACAATCCTAACCAAGCAACTCAGGGCCGTCGTAAACGGAATTGGAGCAATCCTCACCGGAATCATCAACGCCATCGTCGCCTTCTTCGATGTCCTCATCTCCTGCTTGACATGCGGTAGCTGTGGCGGTAGGCGAAGAGGAAGACGGACGAGGAGTACTGTTTAGAGTGGTCCCTTGCCGTGGCGCAAGGGGCTGACTCTTCCTCACTCTCGTCAACATAAGCACAAGTATAAAATTTAAACTTTATGGGGATGTAGAGGAGTGGAGTGGAGTGTGCATGCGTGCATGCGTGCGAGTTTGCTTTATGATACCTGGAGATGGATGTTGGATGAATGGCGGAGCAGGGAGAGGGAGAGAAGAGAGTTTTGCTTTTGTATTTTTCGATTCGCCTCGATACCCGGTTTCTTTTCTTCTAATAATGAATGGTGAGATGAGGGAGGAGTGGAGATCATGGAAGGATGATCGCTTGCGCTTGCGCTTGCATGTATTATATAAAGATGAGAAAAGAGGAGCAAAGGTTTAATGATTATGATATACTACACACGATAAACTATATCTTACTTTCCGATTGCTTTATGTGAATGTGAATAATTGCAATCCAGAGGTTATGCGTCAACTTAGTTCTTGCAGTATCAGTATCCTCCCAACTTCGCCATCCACACTGCGAGATACTCTACCACGAACAGCCTTTCCTCACACGGCCCCAAAATTCTTAATGCTATATCGAATTCTCCACCCTCACTTGTACCACGGGAAAAACTTACTTCTATCCTGTCACATTCCTTTTACATTATTTCCACCCAGATCAAACCAAGCCTAGCATGAAAAGCAGAACGTTAACATCCACTACCTCCCTTCCGGTGACATATTTTTCCAAATTTACTTGTACAAAATCGAGCCATACAAAGTGAGAAAATCTACATGTGCAATGAAGTTTCCAATTCTTGGGTATATTATAGCATGACTACCTAAAAATATGATATCTTCCTTGAATCTCAAAGTCTACTCATATCCATCCCCGGCCGAGTATTCATCCAGAATCTAGTATTACAGAAGACTTGTTTCATTCCAGCGCTAATCTACATGCAAGATGCTATATCTCTATCCTGGCTATATCGCTCACAGAAACACCGCAAACCCATCCTCTTCCACTTCTCTACCTCGCACCCTCAAACTCTCATTGCTGACATTCGGGGCCGCTCCCTGAATCCCCCTCATCACCAAATCTATATCCATGTCCTCCATACCCATGCCCATCTCCATCCCAGTAGTAGCTGCTCTCCTCCTATTCCCCTCGTTTCTCTCCCCAAAACCAAACATCTTCCCATTACTTTCTTCTCCGGCGGCCCCACTAATACCAATAACACTAGACCTCACTCCTCTATCCCTCCCATTGACACTCTCCCACCTCAGTCTAGCCACCTGTCCCAAACCATCAAAACTTTTCACGATACCCCCTAGCGTTCTCAAAAGTACATCAGTGTCTCTCTCGGTAATTCTCATTTTAGCCTCGAGTTCTCTTTCTCTGGAGCTTCTCGGCCCTACTTCCCTTTCTCGCGCAGTATCCATGTCTATATCTAAACCATCGAGATTATATCCATTAGCCGCTTGATCCAATTGTGGATACATGAGAGGCTCACTACTCGGACGTGCATGGCAGGCCTTTTGCAATTGAGGAGAGAAGCAGGTATGAGTTGAATTAGTTGGGTAGAATGATGCATGTAACTCGAATTTTCTTTATCAAGCGACTGAAGTGGTTTATTTAAAGTAAATTTTGGTCTCGGGAGACGTGATGGCGAGGGAATCGGCGGGACGGGAGAAATAGAACGTGGAAGGGAGATATCAGATTGATGAACATGTTTAATAGAAAGTGGGAGGTCAGCAACAAGCATAATTTTAGAAGTCGTCAGAACCACAGCCTTTTGCGAGAGCCGTTCTGTCGAGTGAGCTAGAGGTTTGATGGATTTGGAACTTAGACCTAAGGGACATGATGGTCCAACTTCGGGTTTGAGAGACTTTTCTGAGATGTATGGGGCAGGTATTTCGTTTGTGGCTATTTTATCCAAGTTTGAAATCCCGAAGCCAAGCGAAGCTAAGTCTCTCTCCTTTCTTGCTCTCACTTTCTCGCGACGGCTCGTTGGTGTTGCTTGATCTGCTTGTTTCTCACTACTACCATTTTGCGAACTGTTGGGGGACAAAATTGTTATAGGGCGTCTAGCTTGATTCGAAGGACTGTTTCCAGGCTCTGCTGAGCCAATCGCAGGAAACTGTACTATCATCTCACTTTGAAGAGATGGTCTTGCTGTAGTCCCTCTGAAGCTATGAAGATCGATTGTCTCAGCTCGTACCAAAAACTGCTGGCATCGACTAGTTTGTATTGATACTATCGGGGCGTAGATTTTAGAGATTGTCTGATGCCAGTTCCGGTGGTTGCAATACTGTGAATAGTGATATCGATTTGACTACTTTGTGGGTCTGATGGGTAGGTTGACATCATGTGGTGGATTCCTGTTTACTACCCTTAAGGGCCCATTAGATCTGTTTCTCCATACAATTAGACGGCTCACGGAGCTGAGCGAATTTGCTCGACAGTCAACTGTCAAGGATACTTTGAGTGGTGAGACAGGTGTGGGAATCGTTTTCGGTGAATGGGGCCGAGGTCGTGTCTCTAAAGCATCATTATAAATACTTCCAGTCGGGGTGTATACCTGACTAGTTCGCTGAATATATCCATTTTGAAGCACGATCTCTTCGGATCCTGGCTTCGTAATCACTTTAGTCAAAGTACCTGGTCCCCAGGTACTTCTTTTAGAGATCGATGTTTTCCCCTCGAGCACAGGAGGATCAAGTGGAGTTGTCATCGACTGCCTGACACCATGAACTGGTTTATAGACGACAGCTGGCATCCTATCAAGTGTCGGAGCACGCTCAAATCCTGACGGAGGCTCGGGAGGAATTTGCATTTTTCCTAGATAATCGTACTCTAGTGGTATTGAAATTGCTATATATTGCACACCCTGACGAGTTTTGGCCGCAATAGCAGTATCAGGGAGTTTCAGGAATTGATTAGGCTTTGGCTCTCTCTTCCATTTCCTGCGAAGGAGGCCAAACTTTTTCCGTAGGGTGGCTTGTGGAGGAGCGACTAGATTATGCGCCGGAGGATCATATGATATGAGAAAGTCAGATAAGTCTTTCATTGTTTCCCTTTCATGCTGTGGTGGTATCGTATCCGAAAATCCATAAATTTGACTGCTCGGTTGGTGAGGTGTCATTTTCACTCTTGATTTGGTACCCGAACTATTAACTCTCCTCAACTCTGGAACAGCATCAATCAAGCCATGGTTATGAGACCTGCTCGTTTGGCGGCGTGACAGTAGTCTAGGATTGATAGATGACGGTGGCCCCATGGACAGAGGCCTTGTGGATTTAATATCTACCAAACGTGGTGGTGGGGTTCTACTGTCAATTGCTGAATTCATTTCGGTGAATCGTCTATAGTGAAGTCATGTTAGACAAAACCTGTCAGTTTCTGTAACCGGGGAAACTTACCTTGAAGTAGAAATACCAAAATCCCATCACACCGACATAGTTTCGCTGAAGCTCTAAATGCACTGAGCCACCTCAAGTGACATCAGGTATAAGCAGTTTTCAAAATGAACGAGGTAAGGTCTCCAAATTGAAAATGAAATCAGATCTTGGTTGGAGGATAAGAAAAGATATCAGCATTGTTGTATCTATATCATTTTAGAGGTAGAGGCTCGGTGGCTCAGATTTATTCTTAGCAACGCAATGCAAGGAGAAAGTATGTCTCTGCTCGTCGAGTGAAGTGGGCGTCGACTAATGCGGCACTAAAACTACATCTTGACAAGTTGTGGATAGATTGTTCTCGACAGAACGTCTAGCTTGGAAAAAAGACGGGATGATGTAATGATAACGGGGCGTTGCATTGCAATATGTTGTAAATAGACACTATTTTCGGTGTGATCCGGAACGTGTAGTCTTAACTTCTCGAGGTCTGTCTAATGAAGTCGCTCCTAGTCATGCATTTATGCTCTTCCCTCCTTTGACGGCTTCTTATACTAAATATATAACAGAAAAAAAAAGACGTAATTTATCACTCAATGGCTTCTCAAATGATCAATCTAAAAATGCCTTCCAAAAGCAGAAGTCCACTAAACTCTTAGTGAAGTTCGTGGAGCCAAAATATAATCAATATCTGATAAGGCAAGGTTTGATCTACAACGCAAGAACGCCAGATAGTGCCCCGAGCGACTTTTGCGTGTCCGTGCGAGCTTACGGTGGGGAGCTCGACCGTCATTGACAAAGTGACCAAATACCTGACATCTGAACTAAAAGCATAGAAAGCGTGGACGTGTGAAATTGTGAGACATGATATCAAGCCGAAAGAGTGCTGCCGGCAGCAAACGGCTTTTACGGAAGACTACTGATGAACCGGCGAATTACTAAATTTTCGTGCAGAGATTTTACCTTGAGAGTCTGATCGTTGGCAGTATTTAGGGCAATTAAATTGATAGAGATCAATTTAAGCTCCGCCATTTTGGCTTTCTAGGATGCGTATTTGAAGTTGCCACAATCACCAAGGAGCAACTATTTTCTACCCTCTAAGATCTATCGGATCTACTAAAAAGATGATTCGCATTTGTCTCACACGTGCGCCGTTCGCCATGCTAATATTCTGTTGCGCCAAATTATGCAGGTTCTTGACCTTTAAAAAAAGATATCAATAAATAAATCCATGTTTTCCTCACTTTCTTTTTGCTGGTTTACGCTGAATAAAGGGGTCCGCTGGCGCCTTCCTACGCGGAGGATGGGGTAGATTAGGCTTTGGTGCACGCGCCGCCGCAGCAGCTTTAGTTGCCTGCTGTGCTTGAAGTGCAGCTTCCAGATCCAGTTTTTGAGCACCTCGCTGAGGTTCGGCTGAGCCCCGGTTGATTATGGCAGAGGCTGATGGTGCATGATCTACTTCCGGGGGTGGAATCTATGAGAGTTAACAAAACATAAACCTATGCGGAAAGAAATTGCGAATGTACCACGCCAGTCTTTCGTTGGCTTACCTTCTGCTTTTTCGGAATATTTTCTTCTCGAGGTTCTCGTTCCCTGGGCCGCTTTCTCTGCTCAGTCGTCTCGACATTTGTCGGTGTCATCCTATCATCGCTATCCGCCGGTGTTGTGCTACTACTACCCGATCCTGATCCGCGTGAACTTTGATTTTGTGGCGCATCTGTCATGTCGATATCGCTGTCGCTTTTCTCAGACGACCGCCTAGAGATATTGCCGTTGACATTAGAGGACAGTTGTGAATAGTCTATCACTGGTGCATCCTTAGACGTCGGCTTTGACAACAATCCCATGATATCGCCACTTGTATATCTGCTACGGCTCCTGGCGTCTTGAATAAGCCTGTTCCAAAATTCACCTTGCTCCAATGCCCTAGAATCTCCAAGAACCCACAAGGACGATTTGGCTCTAGTCAGGCCCACGTTCATACGTCGGATGTCGTTTAGGAAACCAATACCTCCTGCAGCCTTGGCACGAACACAAGAAAATATGATGATCTCTCGCTCTCGACCTTGGAAAGCATCAGTCGTATTAAATTCAATCTCTTCAAAAATTTCGTCTCCGAATTTCGCACCAAAACGTCGTTTAAGCTCGTTCAATTGAGCCTTGTAGGTTGTAATAATACCAATTTTACCTCTAAAATCATAAGATCTGTAATCTGTCTTAAGTCGTTGGTAAAGCTGGATAGCAGCATTCAACTCAGGAACGTTGATGAGCGAATGTCCCTTGGTTTCCTTGCTTTGTACACCCACAACATCAAAAAATCGATAAGGTCCAAGAATGGAGCTTGCGTGCCATGGCTGAACCCGCAACTGTGCCATTCCATCACCATCAATGAGACGACTGTTATAAAACTGTTGACTTGGAAATTGACTGATCTCGGGATGCATGCGGTACTGAGTGTCCAGTAGGTGAACATCTTTAGGATGGTTCCGCTGCATTCGGACGAAAAGACTCTGTTCGTAGCCATAACTCTTTGCTAGTCGCGAGAGAACTGTTGGAGGCAGTTGCTCAGGGTCTCCAACCAAGATACATTTCGTAGCACCATACTTGAGAGGTATAAGAGCGCTGAGTTCAATACATTGAGCAGCCTCGTCAATAATAACCGTCTCGAATTCAACATTGACATTCCTCAGAAAATCGTGTCCAGATCCACTGAGTGTAGCACACAGAACATGGGCGCCATCGATAATCTCCTGCGTAAAATGACGTCTACTGATCTCATTTTGTCGAACCTTGTTGTCGCTTTCCTTATCTTCGTCGATTTTGTTACCAATGTGTGCTTGCTTCCGCTTAAGCTCGTCGAACTCTCTTTGCAGTTTCTGTTCCGAGGTTCTGTCACCTTCTGCACGGCACTTCTCCATTTCAGGCCTTATGACATTGAGTCTCTCTTTTATAAGCCCTGCGTCCCTGTGTAGCTTCTCCCGGTCATTCAATTGACCCTTTTTGGACTCTTGGTCACCTTCGAGCTTGATCCTAACCAATTCATCAAGCGTGACATCCTTCACGGTAGAATTGATGGCATCACTTCGCCCGACACGGATGACGTTAATCTTTTGATGAGAGCCGGTGAGAGGCAAGATTCCCTCCTTCAACCTGAGGACCAATTCATCAACAGCAGCGTTACTGGGAGCGCAGATAAGTAGCTTTTTCTTAGGTGCTTGGGCTTGGGCGCCTGCGCCGCCATTTTGACCTTGTGGCCTGAAGCCAACCTGTTGTGCTTGCTGCTGAAGCACTTGGGAGAGCAAAGCACCGACCATCGCAATAATAGTCTTAGTTTTTCCTGATCCAGGAGGACTGGTACTGTTAGCAGTGTGGTTGGAAACAGAATATAATCCAATACATACCCTTGGATCAAAGTAAAACCGTCATTATCATTTGCGGACAAAATTGCTTTGGCTTGCCCGTTATTGAGCTTATACCTGGTCGAAATCGAAGCAACTTTCTCATCGGAATATTTTTGTAACGGAGAAGGCTTTGCCTCCATAATTTCGGTGCATAAGTCGTAGTATTCGAGACTGCTCAGGGCTGCAAACTCTCGCAGAGTTGTCGTCATATCAGTGATTTTGAGGGTGTGTAATTTGCCGTTGGGCACAAAACAATTCAGAAGTTCAGGGCTAATATCCCTACTAACTCTATATGTGACCTCCACTGCATCCCGCTTACGGGTTGTCTTAAAAACACGTGCGAGGCAATGTGGTGCTTGCTTGTCTTGAAGCGGATTTGAGCTTTTAGAAAGGAGTACAATGTCTTGTTGGTACACCATGAGGTCTCTTTGATTGGAAATCGACATGGTAGTGCTAACTTCCATAAACTTATCAACAGACAGACGATTCAGAACCTTTATTTCTATAGGCTTATAGTTGTTCTCTTCTTTGGCTGTTAGCAATGATCGCCATACTTCCGATATGAGCAAAGGCTTGAAGGTATCCTTATAGAGTCCGAGGTCGAGGAAGCTGTTCGCAATCTTCCTACAAACATTGTTGCTTGGAGGGTCCTCGCCCTCATGGAAAATGTCCCAATTGAGTAACTCGAGATATATGATATCCATGTTTGGCTCCAAACGAGCACGAAGATCCTTCTTTGAGTACACCTTCTTGGTCTTTCGTACTGGACCCGCCGCCGCTTGTAAAAGAGCCTTTTTCCTGCTTTCTTCATACTCTTTGACTGTCTTCGAAGCTTCCCGGCTTTTGCTGAAAAGTAAGTTCGTGTCGGAACCATCGTCATCATCATCATCCGAATCTTCGTCTGATGACCCCACCATTATCTCACTTCGAACAGGCGCATGATCTTTACCTGCTACACCACTCAAGTTCTTTAGACCAGATCCTTCACCCTTTACTAAGGCCGTTGGGGCACGAAGGGCTTTCGCTAGAGCAACAGCTTCTGCGTCCCGCTTCTTCCTGTCCTCTGCATCTTTACGGCGTTTCTCCTTCCAATCTTCGGTAGCTTGGACGTTTTTCAGTTGTGGCTGTGCTCTCATTTGGTCTATGATACTCTTATGATGCTCAGAAAGCGTAAAGGGAGCCTGTGATGCCTTGTTGGATTGAGTGATGACTGGCTCATATGTTTTGCCGTCTCCAGCTTTTGACCAAGTATCGAGCGACGTTTGAGTTTGGCGTCCCTTAATGCTAATTGTCGGCTCATGTTTTGCACCTTCTGCTGACTTAGACCATGAATCAATTCTTGATTGCTGTTTCTTAGCCGTTGTAGGGTGGATTTCTATAACCTCCAAACCTTTATGCTCATCAAGAGCAGCATTTAACTCGGCCTTTTGTTGATTAGTAAGATTGGTCTTTCTGTATTTTGAATCGTTGTCATTTCTGCATGCATCTTGTATATATCCTAGTGCGTACTGATGGACCTCGACATCGAACTCTGCTAATGATCGAAGAAGCTTTCCAAGAAGACTAGTGATCACGCTGACTAGATAGATATCTCTCAGCCTGAGCATCATGGTCAGACCGTTCACATTCAGGCAAACGACTTGCAATACCTTCTTCAGTGCAGACTTTGACGAGCTGTGGGCTGTCGATTCATCATTAGACAAGCCAGGAGACTCGCTTAGAGCAGAGGCGATGATACTATATTGGTTGAACAAAGACTCTGCATATTCCATGCCATCTCGGCAAAAATCCTGCAAGTATTCCTTTGAGCGTTGTACACGACCTCCCCATGATTCTGTGTTGGAGAACGTCATATCAAGAGCACGCCACTGGTTAATCCACCAAGACATTACAGCGCCTCGTTCTGTAGAATCCAAAGAAGGATGATTTCGTAGATATCCTGTGTTTCCACATAGAGCATTGAGCATGTCCCGCCCAACTTTAATTAGATATGGAACAGGGGAGAAGTTTTTTGCCTTTGTGACTCGGACGGTAGCAAATGTCAGGGAATTCAACATCGGTACAAATGCTTGCTCCAACAAGCTCGACATAGCTTCTCGCTTGCTTACTTGGCCTGTTGCAGCTTTAACAACCTCAACAGCAGCTTCGAAAATTTCTTGATCAGCAGAGAGCAGGGCTGCAAACAGTGGACGAGAAGTCTGAGGGTCCCGGTACATCTCGATCAAATGAGATGCATCAAAATCACTAAGGCGCTCAAAAATTCTAGACACGTTCTCGGTTAGTTGATGAAAGTCCTTGTTATACTGTAGATGGGAGGGAGGAAGGGGTGATTTCTTCGTCTGTGGTGTGAGTTCATCCAAGCCGGTGAGGTGAGTTGTTGCCGCAAGAATACTCTTGGCCAAATCTACGTTTCCTGGTCTAAAAATGTCAAGAACAGCTTGCCAAATTGGTTGAGAATGGCTTCTAAGGCCCTGTTGTATCGGGATATTTTGCGCGAGAGCCTGGAACTCTGCACTTAAAGATTTGCAATCAAGCGCCAAAGCATCCCGTACCACTAACATACCAAGCCTCCTCATTTCTTGATGTGTAGCGTCGGCCATATTCAGATCAGCAGATCTCGCAATCGTCTCCTTGTATTGGTCAACAAGCCCCATGATGTTATTGATGAATATAAGAGACGTTGAGGGGTTGATGTTGTATTCCGAGTCGACAAAGGTGTTTAAAGTGGCACGGAGAGTATCGAGTGCTACGCAACAACAAGCAAGCCTGGTGTTCTCTGGCCACGTCGTCTTTTGATACCGTCGTAGAAGAAATTCAAGCAGGAAGCTGCAAGCATCATATTGACGATCAGAAGGAAGTGATTCCACAAGTTCAGGTATCCACGCCAGTGCAAAAGAGATTTCCGGGTCTTCAAAGTTTATTCTGCAAAGCATTCCCTCAAAGCCACCACCCCGAAAAATGTTTTCTGCAATGGTGGCTGGCGAGATTGTATTAAATGCAGCCCAGAAGTTCTTTGGGGACTTCTTGAGTAAGCCTCTAAGCACTTCGATAACTAGCTGACCGATCCTTTCCGATTTACAAGTTAAGTGGTTGAGTGCAAGCATATACACATTTGGTTGAACCTCCATTGCTCGGAGAGAATGTGTTATGAGGTGTTCATCTAGTTTGTCTAAAATCAAAAGGAATCCTTCCCAAAAGCGTATGATATCATCGTAATCGTAATTTCCTTGGGTCACAGAAATAATTGCTTCCGACAGTGTGTCATGTACGACCCATTCGAATGATTCGGGCGTAAGCATAGTAGTAGCTTTCTGCCAGGCGCACCTAGCAAATCGGAGTCGTATGACATTCTTATCGAATAAAAAACGTCCTGTAGCTGGTAATATGTCGCTAATTCTCAAGACTTTCTTTGCTTGTATTTCTTCAAAGACGAAATCGAAGTGCTTCGATAAGTTATCCTCAGATTTATGGTAATCGACGCAACAAAGTGATTCGTAGAGAGACAAAAGAAGGGAGGAGTCGTATCCAGCAAGCAATTTCTGCGTCCTCATTGGAGACTCCACATCGGATATGACTTTCTTGCTTGACCTTAGCCCATTATCTATACGTTGAAAATCGATAGCGTTCAGGCGGTTCGAAAGCTCTGCGACAGTTTCATCATCGAAACTCCTAAGACATGTTAGCATCCGGACGAAGTATATGTTGTGGGGTGTTACTCTGCTAGTTCCTTCAGATATGCCTTGCGACCTATATGCCAATTATGCACACATTTATCACAGCACGTCAAAAGTTTGTTTAAACGTTCAAGGTAGTCTTCTACCATGGGGCCACCTGAATCAGGATCTAATCCTATAATGAGAGAATATTTATATGCAACAGTCTGCCTCCGCTGGGCATCTTGTATAAGTTCCTTCTTGGTTTCTGCACTCATATCCTCCTCGGCGTCGTCTGGGCGGGAATAGTCGACATAATCTTCGTCATTCCGCTTGGGACAGAACCAATGCGCACCGGCAGGGAAGCTCTTCAGTTCTCTAATAAAATTAGTCAGTTGACTCCTACATAACTATATCTCGTGGTACAAACCCATTGAGCCCATGGAGCTCGTCCATGATATCCGCTTCATCCGGCATAGTTGCAGATATTCTATAAGACGCGCATGCGATTCAAAAGGGGATGTTTAAGAGCCAAGGTATATGTGGATAGATGTTTTATAAATGATATTAGGGGCAAATTTTTCAAAAGGTTGGAGGATTCTGAAATTCTTAGCAGCTGGAGTAAGAAGCGGTCCAGTGGTTCAGTTGACTTTGAAATCGTTAAAGAAAGTGAATGTAAAGGGCAAAATCTAGCATCAGGAATTGGGACTAAGACTTTTGGAAGTGATATGTGATAGGACCTTGTAATCAGATTTTGAGAACATACACAATTGGAAATGATTTTATGTATTGCATGTAAGAAAAGCAAGAAAAAGTCGAGGTAAGGGCAGATAGAGCACATTAATGGGACGCGCATCGCGTAGGACAAGGATAGGCTAAAACCATTTCACGTGGTTACTTAAATTGATTTTCTGACAGCCTCGCCATTCTACATGCAAGGCTACCTTTTTATCACCGTGGGCAAGTTCTCCAGATTTTCCAAAGAATGTTTACTCCTTTATGAACTGTATGCACATCTTGTTAACATCCCAGCATTTAAAAGTATTATTATTATTATTATGACTCCAAAGATGTTCATTTTTTATATTCAAATTCCAAGCGAAGTTATATAGTGAGTGTAACTATTCTAATAGTACGATATTTATAGTTTTCACAAGACAATTCATGCGATAATTGTCAAGATATATCAATGAAAAGTAGATTATACTTCGCTCTCTATATTGAAGCTCTGTGCACTTATTTGATTTGCAATGGTTATATACAAATGGACCACACTGATCCTATCACCACTGCTGAACATACACCATCAGAAGTGAAGATCTAGAACCATCTTCCAAAACAACACGCCCTCGCCAGCAAAAACGAAGAAGCAGGAACAAAATAAGATAATATAGCCTAATGCCTTTTCATGTCATTCATAACGCCCATAACACCAATGCAAAAGAAAACCAAATGTAGAACACAAAAGTCGTAGATCGCTCCTGCAGATCATTATGCTTAATATCTCCTGTATCAACAAAAGAAAAGAAAAGTGTATGGTACAGTTCTTCGCAGCCTCCCAGATTAGAAATGAATGAAAATGATGTTAGGGTATCATTGTGAAATGTCTTCGTTCCTCCTACTTCTTAGCGGTTGCAAATGATTGACTTGATTCTAATCGGGTTAAAAGGGCTGCGGAGGTAAAGTCCCTACTAGCCTCGAAACTTGGTCTAACTCGATCACACGACGTTCGTAATCTATCGAAGGAGGGTCGCGGTCTATCTACGGAAACTCGAGGACCAAGTTGATCCATCGAAGGTCTATGTCGTGTAAAGTCGGTTCCATCGCTACCGTTTTGACTTCGAGGATTATGCGTCGTGTTCGTTGGAGCAACTGAAGGGGGGTAAATGGGTCGTTGGTCTTCATCAATGCTCGGATAGTGGATGTGCTTACTCGGCTTCGTAATTTCAGAGGAAGTTGCCGATGAACCATCCCTGGACATTGCATCTATGTGCTCATCGGGTTTATCAAGATAATCAAATTTCCCTTGACGGACTTGCTCGCGAATGATGTCGACATCGTATGGGAAGTAAACTTTTTGCACAGCCTTGACGGCGAAGCGCGGTAAAAGGGCGATAACGACAGAAAGGCATGTAACTGCCCAGAAGGTGGCTTGGGAGAAGATTTGGGCGGCGGCTTTATAAAAATAGTCTGACGAGGTAAAAGATGAATAGACTCCAGTCCAAAACCATACCAAGAGAATACTTATAGTGACAAGAAGGACCATGAGCCAATCCCATCGGTAGGTATTGATCAGAATGTATACGTTGATAGCGACGACGGCGGCAGGTGCAACGTAAACTCCGAATCGCTCTCGGTCATCAATGTTTTGGCCACTTGAAGTGACAAAGGTGCCATCCTCGAATAAGCAATATGCCATGAAGAAAATTATGACTGATTGGTACAAACCATCAGCCATGTAAAGCCTAATTCAATTAGTCCTGCATACCTTGGGATTAAGATTTCATTATACTCACCAGAACTTCCTCTGAGTCCACTCCTTTCGCTCAATTCCACGTCTGTAGAGCTGGGGAACCGCTAGAGAAACCTTGTCCGAAACATCTTGATCCAAAACACCCATGAAGATGACAGGAACAGATGTAAAAGCCAAGTTGAACAAAAGAATGTAAGTGTAATCGTAGAGGTAGGTCATGTCGAAGTTGGCGAAAATCTGGTACCAGAAAATGGTGAAAGTCCACACAACGTTCTTGTAAAAGAAATTGGCAATTGTTTCACCCAGTCTGCGATAAGACCATCTTCCGTGGACCAGCACAAGTCGTTGTAAGAATCGGAATTGCCCAATAGCATAATCCGAAGACATTACAGCTTGTCTTCCCTCTTCACCAGCAATACCAACTCCAACATCAGCCTCTTGAATCATGGCAACGTCGTTTGCGCCATCACCAATAGACAAAGTCATAACATCCAAACCACCTTTCACCATCGCCACAACGGCAGCCTTTTGAGCAGGACTGACTCGACAACAGAGAACCGATTTGCATTCTTTACACAAGAGTAGAAACTTTTGTCGCAATGTGTCGTCCAAGACAAGCTTGAGAGAATCCCCGTCAATGACAATGGCGTGTGTTGGTGCCGGTGGCTCGTGGTTCTTCTTGGCGGCTTTGAGCTCCGCATCAGAGCCAGTCAGTTTGAAAATTGCCAAGTGCTTGTTCAGCTCAGCTTCCGCAGTAGATAGCTGTTCGTCCTCGATCTTCAAGACAATGAGCTCCATGTCGTTATTGAGTAAGTTGCAAGAAAATCCGATATTGATGGCAGTCTCGACCTTGTCACCGGTGAGAACCCAGAGCTTGATACCAGCTTCGGCTAAAAGTGCTATGGTATCAGGTACCCCCTCTTGCAAGCGATCCTCGATAGCTGTGCCTCCAAGCAGTGTGAGATCGCGTTCAATCATGTCAGACACCGCTTCCAACTTATCTTCACGGTCTTGAATGGCTGCAGCCGCAATCTCGTGCTTCTGGTTCCAGTCCTGATACTCTTGCTCACTAAGCTCTCTTTGCGCGATGCAAAGAGTGCGTAGACCTTCTCTTGCAAACAGCTCCAAATGTTCCGCTGTAGTGCGACGTAACTCTGGTTGCTCCCCTCGCTTTAAGCGAGAATATATTATGCTGTCGGCGCCTTTACAGAAGAGTATGATTCTGTTGTCGGGCATACGGATAATGGCACTCATTCTCTTTCTGGTTGAATTGAATTCGAGTTGGTTTAGAACTCTATACTCTATATCTTGGCCTTGGATATTTAAAAGGATGCCGTTTGGGGAATTGCCAAGAACGGTGAAGCCGACATCACGGGCAGTAGCAACCAATGCCGCTTCATCGGGTGACTGAGCTCTGAATTCGATCCTAGGCGGGTCTCCTGGAGTAGTTTCTGAAATGACCGAGTGGCAAAGAGCGAGTGCTAACATGAATTGATAATTGGCGTCTTGTTGCTCTTTCCCGCTTTCACCGGCAAGATCGTTGACGAAGTCAGGAGCAATGAAAGTCAGGTCATCGTCGTGGAGATAAGGATTGTCATGAAGTTTTCTGACGTCCACCAGCATTTTAGCTCGTGCTGCTGCAATCTGCTGTTTAGCTCTTGCTCCCTCTTTTTCCACATCAATACCTTGACGTTTCTGCATGCCGGCCTGTGCTTCAGTGTATGCTTCTCCGTAGGGGACCCCGTTGATGCTGGCCTTTTTAAACTCCATGACGTTTTGGGTTAATGTTCCTGTTTTGTCAGAAAATATGTACTCGATTTGTCCCAAATCATCAGAGATATTCCACGATTTAGGCGTGCAAGGATAATCAAGTTTCTCGTAGTACATTTCGCTGTCGCTGTAGATGAAGAACGCCTGGCAAGTCTTGATGATTTCAATTGTGATGTACAATGAAATTGGTACCAAATTCTGGAAGAGAATGAGAGCAGCCCAAAAGGTGATGAAACCATCAAGGGCTGGGGATCCACCGATAGAACCGAATTCAAACAAATCAATGGTATTATTTCCCTGTCCCCAGATAATACCTTCAACGAGACCAGACGCGAAACAGATGGTGAACAGAAGAACGAAGTTGTAAACGACATTCCAGTTGAGTTCTCGGGCAATGCGTGAGCGTTTACTGGGAGTGATTCCAGAGTTCAACATGATCTTGGTATCAAAACCCGTAAATACGACAACTCCAAGAATCCAATCTGTGTTCCTAAGATTACATCCACGGAGGAGCAAGTTGTTGATTGAAATTGGCTCAACCATCTCTTCGCCCGGTCCATCCTTTCCGCTATGTTGTGTCCAGCGAGCTACAGCACTGTATTGATAAAGATTTGGGTGCGGCGCTTCACTTTCTATGGTAAACTCGGTTCGTTCACAGTCGCGAGCGTGTTTGATGCTTCGGCCACTGCGAAGAGCGTGTCGCACCTTCAAGTTCGTCTCTCCATCCAGATTTTTCGTCTCAACGTAGCAAGCTCCGTCAGGATCCGAGGTGGATAAAATCACGATATCCGCGGGAATCTGATCATCGTTGTAGATACGGACGAAGTCTCCAACTTGCACATTCTTCCAATAATCCTGATGAAACCTAGGCTTCCCAGTTACTGCATTGTTGCGATTGATCAAACTTCCAAAGCTCTTCTCCGCCGGTGGACTTGCGCTAGCATCGTATGAAAAGGCCGTACCTGGGCGATCTGGGACATCAAGGCCGCCGTCTCGGGGTAGAGGTGAAGGCACTGGTGTCATTTGAATATCGTCTCGCGCAGCCCTTGACTCGAAGGACGGTCTAGGTTCCTCCACATCCATAGCACGTTGTGCATACGTCTCCCCGGGTAACTTTTTGTCCTTTTTCACTTTCTTAACGGTCTTTACCAGCCAACGCGAAGTAGCCTTTTTGATTCTCCTCCATAGTGAAATGTCGTCATCACTAACGTTTACGTTATTCCACTCAACGAGGCGATGAACAGGCGAATTGTTGAGTTCATTGTCAAGAATGGTTCTTCGATAATCTTCGATTCCATCTTTGATAGCTGTAATCGTGACAATAACAATCAAGGGAACAGCATTGAGACCTGGATTAGATGCACCAAAGATACTAAAGATCTACACGAATCAGCCTCACATACGCGGCCTACAAGATCTGGACTTACGGTGAGAATGATCAAAAACAAGAAATACACGTTCGCGATGTTGTGGAATTGAAACCATATATTCTTCGGTATGAAACTCAAGGGGGTGTACTTTGCAGTTCTGATTTTGTTCCGTTTGTAATGCACCAAGGGGTGACCGGACTCGTCAATCGCGTCCCGTGGTAATGGGAGATTAAAGAAAACCTTTCTAGGTCCTTGACCATCGTTATCGTCCTCTTCCGCCTGTTCCTCTGCAGCCTCGTTCGTTCGTTCTTCTTCTATCCTGCCGAGATCCGTTCCCATTGAACTTGCGCCGACAGAGTCCCTCTTCTCACTGCTTTGCGATTTACGCGGGTGTAGTCGGTCCATTATCGATGTCCTCTTTTTATCACCCTTTGCCGGCGCTACTCTTTGTGTAGCCCATCTCATTCGCCTCGTCCCTGGCTCAGGTGCATCCTCCTCTGGTTCTGCGTACATGTCGACGCCCGGCATGATTGCGATCGTTTGTGATTGGGGCGGAAGCCCGGTGTGAGGCAAGAGCCCGCAGGCAAGGTGAATATGCCCGCCAGTGTTCAAAGGAAATCAGATGCTAGGGTGTATTCCCTGAGAAGACAAGACGATTAAAACGATTGAGACTCGACTAGAACTTTCGAAAGATGCGAAATTAATCGACGAGCAATGGTAAGAAGTATCGTTGTAATAAAAGGTCCACACAGGTAGAAGGTCTGGTACTTTTAGAATGGTCGCTTATGACAACTAAATTTGGTACCGGAAGAGTCGGCCAGGAGGTCGCGAAGAAGCGGTAGTTTGTGAATATCTGACCCCCCTTGCAAGGTTAGATAGAATGAACAATTGAAAAGATTGTACGTGACCAAATTCCTCATAGGAATACAATCAAATTGAGGGTTATCGTGATGTTTCGAAGATACTATGGGGAAATTGTCGATGTTGAGGAGGGGAAGAGAAAGGAAGGGACGGAGTTTATGTTTATGGTTTGAGTAGAGTAGAGGAGGGTAGAGTTGAGTTGAGTCTGAGCAAGTGAATGAGGAAGTTCCGGGGGTAAGAGGGGAGTTCGTAAATGCTTATTGAGCAACAGGTAAAAAAAGATTAGCAGCAAAGAAAACGCCACTTGAAACCCGTTCGAATTCGGAGAACGGATATAATGGATAATGGGTAATGGGTAATGGTAATAGATAATAGATATTAGATGTAAATGCAGACTGAGGTATGAAGCAGTCAGTCAGTGCCTAGGTAGTGAGTACATGGACTAGAATTTTTTCATACATTATATCACGTCTCTGAGATGTCTTCCAACAGTTGAGAGTTCGCAGGGGATTTACGGTGGGTTGAATAGAAGAGAATAGTAGATTGGAATTGAGGGATGATTTGAAATGCCTTGGCTTGAAAAATACCTCGGAAGGGAAAAGTTGAAAATATGAAAGGAAGGAAGAAAGAAAGAAAGAAAGAAAGGATTATCGTAGAATAAATGATTGACCCGTCCTTTGGGATTAAAGAGAGCAAGGGAGTAAGTGACTCGAATGTTGTAGATACAACAATATCTCTCTCTCGAGGCACTTGTTATTATTCGTACACGAAATCCAAGGTAGGTGAATAATAATAATAATAATACCTACACCTGGAGGTAAACTGCTTACGTCCGGAGTAAAGTAGGGGACTGGGTAAATTGGACCAGTCACTCACTCATGCCTGTGCCGCCAAACAATTTTTGAAGAGGGCTGAATTGAATTTCCGAATATCCTAAGGAGGGTTAGGAGGGAGGATTAGGTGGGTGGTTAGGATTTACATTTACGCCAATCATTTTCAGAAACCGAGTTCAGGGGTTAACCTTCGACATCAACAAACTATACTTCTCGAAAGGAGTGAGGCGTGAGATCTTACTTTCTCACAGAAAACTTACTGGACTGACTGGACTGACTGTACTGACTGTATCTGTGCTTGTACTGACGGGGCTTTGTCATAATCGGTTGGAACTTTCTGGAGGATCACTACATACAAGGCCACATATTTATCTAGATATTTTGAATGAATGCTACATGATTAAATTCCGGATTGACTCGAGGATCGCATAGGTGGGTGGTAGGTAGTATTTATTTTCATGGGTACCTACTAGGCAGGTACTTGCCAATTCATCCGATTTGTGACCTATGGAAAAAGGAAATGATATTTGCATAGAATCAACAGACAACCAGCCAGACAAAACAGACACAACAGATAAATACCAAGAAGACCAAGAGGTAGAAATGTTAGTAATGTGACATGTGTAACTGTAAGCATAAGGCATAAAGTTCACCCACCTGGTCAGGAAACATTTCAGAAAATGGTTGGGGCTGGAGTCGAGTTAGAAACTCGGTCAAAACAAAGAAAGGATTTTGGGAAATGGAGATTTCGGAGAGAAGCCTCTCTCGGTGAATGTAAGTCTTAATATTCTGACCCTGAGCGTGAAAATGAACTAGAGTTGGAAGTTTCAGCAGCATTTCACACCCGCTTTACCTGTATCATCACCGTACTTTATTTGCATCAAGGGGAAAGAGTATAAATTATTTTGATAAAGTTATGTATGTATGTTACGTATGTTATGTATAACTTTTTCTAATTTACCTACATCGTCAATCTGCAATTTCACTGATCTGTTTTAAAATGCTGGGCTGGGCTGGATATTTGGACTTCATCGTAAACTCCATAGATCTAACCGAGTTGGATAAAAGCCTTACTGTGTGCGTTGATCACCTCATCTCATTCATCCCTTTTTAACCTATCCGAAACCAGCTTTCACTAAGGAATCCGGAGTTTAAAAGAAGTAAGCTGTTCTGTATACTATAAATTGTGAAGAGACCAGCTAAACACTCGGTACATGATATCAAAACAGCAAGGACCAGATCCAATCTTGATAGAGGGGTATCATCAACAACGTCAGTCATGGTAGCACCATATAAACTTCTCATCTTGTATCTCTAATCTACCTTTGAGGCAAAGTTAATTACACACTGCTTCCCCAACTTAGATAGCATGCATAATATTTCAAGGTTATTCTTAAAGTCCAACACGAGGCTTAGACGCTTAGAAGAATGGCCAGCATCCGCACCGGGCTATCGAAGTGTTTGGACGTTTGACATCTGCAACAAATTGCGAACTAGATGGATGTGCAGGGACTCGCTAGATTGGGTGGTGAAGCAGGGGACAAATTCGATGGATGGTGGAGTGGAAGGTAATATGAGAATTTGATGGTGGACTCAGGACTGGTACTGCAGAATGATATGCTCCGAAGTCGATAATCCTTTTATCCTTTTCTCCCGTACACGAAGATCGATATTCTAATCTTCTTCGCCCAGGAACTTGCAAAAATACAGGTGACTAATAAGTCGTGAAATAGTTTCATCTAGATTGAATTGGCTGTTGATCGTAATGCCGCGGCACCCATGAGCGCTTACATAATACCGAAAATAGAAACAAAGTTGAATGCGAAAATTGGCATCCCGTGATGTTCGTGTCTGCAAGCATCATCTATCACGCGACAGACGCGACTTTCGAATTTCGATATCTACGGGACGAGACTGATGTGAGCTTTTGAGAAGAAGATTCTATGCATTAAATACAAACACGTCTTGCTACATCTGCTACATTCTTTTGAACTTCCAGACATGTCATCATCAAAGGGTAATGCAAACATCCGCCAATTTTTCAAGCCGATAATACAGCAGGCTTCACCTATGACATCTGCCCCTCCTACCAAAGCCCCACGCAATAATAGCCAGATAGCATCTGAATCTCCACTTTCAACTAGCCCACAATCATCGGGCCTAGACTTAAGTACTGCTACGGAACCTATGTCTTCTCAACAAGCTTCCTCTTCTTTGTCAGAGCCACCGACAAGCATTCCGCAATCTTCCTCAAACATTTCAAATGGCGTTGTCCCAGGTTCAGACGATGAAGATGAGGATGGCTTTTCTGACAGTTCATTGGAAGATCTTGACGTTATATTCAACACAAATCGCACAGCTTCAGCTACTACCTCTTCCTCAGCGCCAGCTCCGGCGACTCCCAGGGCGTCAAGATCTAGAAAACCTCTTATCTCGACTGCTAAGCTTTCTCCATTGACCCTTAGAACCACACACTATAAATTTGACTTGAAACATCTCATGGGGAGTGCAGCTGCAGATGCAGCGCTCGAAGCAAAAGAAAGAAGGTTAGAGGAAATAGCTCAGGAAGACACCGAAATGGGAGATGACGAGCCCACCGCGTTCCAGGATGATATACATGGCAGTATTCTACGAAAGCTGAATGAAGAGAAACAAGACGGTGGGGGAAAGGAAGTTCAAAAGGTTTTGAATGTTGTTAAGAGAACAGAAGAAATGAAGGTTGGCAATCGATGGTACTTTTTTGAAACCAAAGAAATTCCTGCGCTCAAGAGACAGCCATTTCCAACTCCTTCACTGCCACAGAATTGGAAGAATGATCTTTCTGAACCTCAGACTAGACATCAAACATTTGTGTCAGGATTTGCGGAGAATATGGTTACATATGGAAAGAAGTTGCCCGATGAGATCATCCAATGGATTCTCGATGACTTCTGTATGGAAGAGCAAAATGACCTTCAAAATTCTTACTTCTCCCTTCTGAGAATATCAGGAAGACAAGTTCATGGTCTTGTCACTCCAGAGGTCATTAGGAGGATGTTTAGGTCTGTTGGTGCCACAACTACAGCGATCACCCCATCTGAAAAAATAAAACCACGCCCAGAGATCGCTAATGCATATTCACATCAACCATGGCCGAAAGTTCGAGCTTTGATTGGTCTCATAAATCTAATAGCCAGGCCCCTCCAAGAATCATCCAGACTAGAAGTTATATGTATACTTTTAAGGCTATGTATCGATCCAATCTTACTAGAAAGATTAGACCTCTTATCATTAGTACAGAAAGCACTCCATAACCTTTGCCTTTACATGGATCCAGACTCTTGGGAACAATCCGTGAGCCACCTCTTCCATTTCACCCCAGTTTAAACCGTAAACTAACCTCTCAACAGTCCCAAACAATCTGCGCCACCCTCTTCAGCACCGTCGAACTTTCCTCCCTCCGCCTCCGCATAATCAACTCCATTCCCCCCACCCGCTCCTCCCGCCTCCACGAACTCCGCCGCCGTCTAGCCCTAACATTCTACTTCTCCTCCCTCTCAAAATCCCTTCACGCACCCCAAAAAATAATTTCCATCCCCGCTGTAACTCTCCGTCTCAGAGAACCACCATTCCACATAGATCCAAACACTGATTATCACGAATTTGGTGCCCTAATTCTCCTGCTAGACGTCGCAATCGATGATGGACGATCCGAAGATCTAGATCTTGCAGATGAAGATATAGAGAAACAGTTTAATAAAGATGTAGATGAGTTAACTAATAGACTTACTACTTTTGATATTAAGGCCTCGGGTGCACAGCATTCTTCAAGGATGGAGGCAAAGGAAAATCTAAGTTTGGTGGAGAGGAGAATCGAACATACAGTTCGAACTAGATCGAAGCCGAAGAATATGTTTTATGAAGAGACGAAAAAATTCTATGAGAGACGGCAGGAGGCTCTAGGGGGGATGCAAAGGAGCATGTCCAGCTTCGTGAAGAAAGCGAATTAAATAGGTACCGGCCCCAAATATAGCCAAGTCACGGCTGAACGAAGCCCTTGGCCATTTGTATATTCTCAAGATCAAACATATTGTACGCAATCTTCATAATGATATTGATGTTAATGTATCATACACGCTCTACCGACAAAACCTGCAATATTGTATAATTTGAATGTGCAAAGCTCCTTTCATACCCCCTTTCCACTCTTCAGACTCTCAAAACACAACGCTCTTCATCCATTAACCACCTAATCATAGAATTTCCGGTTGACATTGGGTCCAAATAATGTGGTTCGAACAGAGGGTAATGCGTTGTCTTGGAGTAACTTCAGACGCTCCTCAAAAGTATTGTTGATATCGATCTTGCCTCCACCGCCAATAATGGACAAACCACCAGCACTGTTTAGAAGTTAGCTTACGCACCCCATCATACCATAAGAATGAACCTACGATTCCTCCGGCAAAGGATTCTTCTCATCTATACTCGCCACAATATCCTTCTTCGTCTTCTCCTTATACTCTTTCTGCGCATCCTCAATCGCCTTCTTAATAACATCATAATCCTGTTTTCTCCCTCTAACCTGCAACTTCCCCTCATTCAACGCATACATTCCCTCCAACAATAAGTTCTTCAAAATCTCCGTATATTTGCCTTTATCTTGCGTAGCCTCCTTCAATCTACCCTGCGCCTTTTCGAAAATACCATCGAGGAGCTCTTGACGTGCAGAAAGAACCTTGAGACGAGTCTTATTTGTGACGGTCGACTGAGTGATTTGCTGGGACATACGTGCGGTTTTGAATTTCTTCTCGTATTGGGTATCGATAGCGGAAGTTTCTTGACGGACTAACTTGGATTTTTCAATAGCAAATTCCTGTTTGGGGATGTTAGTAGGAGTGGAAAATGGTTGGTCTTTGTTGGTGGAGACGTATCATTTGCTTTGAGTTCGATTTCACGGCCTTTTTCCATGGCTTCTTGTTTGATGAATGCAGTCATCTTCTTCAGCTCCTGTTTTTACATTGTGTTAATGGCGAAATTTGGGCATGAAACCCTTGGGAAGGTGGAAGCTGTACCTGCGACACCTAGATTTACAACATTAGCATAGCACCTTGAGACTGATGTATTTGTTGGAAATAAGTTTACTTACCTGGTCGTCCGACAAAGCGTGTGACATGATGGGCGATTGGTATGTGTAGAGCTAGGGGAAAGATCGTGTGAATTCAAAAGATGTTGAAGAAGTTCGTTAGCTTCGTTGGAGCTTCAAGAGCAACAGCAAGGTTGGGGATTGACAACCTGGGATAGCTCCAAGGTACAGAAGCGATAAGGGAAGCGACGTCCGATTGATGGTCATGTGATTATGTGGCGTCTACGCATTTCGATGTTTTGGACTGTGAGGAATGCTTTTTGACTCGTTGGAAATACGTCTTCGCTTTCATCTGAAACTGTCTGTTTGCACTGTCATACTGCAATATTATATTTGGTATCAATCATTGATTGGGATTCTTGGAGCAATTCACACACGACTCAGGATATCGACTCGCGATTGTGTACCTCTACCGAGACATCGCATATGACTTTATGTTGACCGCGAATTGGAACCATCACCTTACACAACAAGTGCCTTTCAAAACAAACTATTACACCATATAATTTCTTTTTCAGACAGAAAGCTCTGCCGTACTTTACCAAATGAAGTCTTGCAATACATCGTGATGGGACAGCTCGGCGACCTATCGCCTGGGGGAAGTGTGGCTGTAAGTCAAGATCTCCCGTCCTCGAAATAGCTCTATGATTCGTCGTACAGATCTCTAACTACCAGTTCTATATATTGGCAGGTTGGAATATTAGTAGGGCTCATATCCACGAGCGTTCAAAGTCTCGGCTTGACTCTTCAACGCAAATCACATATTTTAGAGGACGAGAAAGGGGCACATCATGTTCGAAGACCACCGTATAGAAGGAGGAGATGGCAGTTGGGCATGGGCATGTTTATTATATCGAACCTTGTGGGTAGTACGATCCAAAAAACCAACTTTTACCCTTCTTCTTGGTATTGGGTCACCTCTTCAAATCTTTCGGGTT